ATATCGGCAAAAGATCGTATCGAGATAATGCACATGCTTAAGTGTCTGTTTTTGAACAGCTAACAATTAGTAGTTTAACAGCTACACTACTAATATTTAAAGTATTAAGATGCTACTAATAATTTCGTAATTATTAATTGAAACGTTTTTACGAATAGTAGAATAAACGCTACAGATATAACTCTTGCTAAAACAAATTGAAAACTGTTACCCAGAAATGCCATACATTTGAGAACTGTGGCCAAAACAAAAGAGCAATCATGGTGAATAGACCATGTTTGAAATAAACCAATCACCAATGATCTAGGGAAGTCAATGATATAAGAAATCTTACGAAAACAAACTAAAAAGTGTTACCCAGAGATTAAGGTGAATAGATTATAATTGATTAACAACCATAGATATAAGAACTCTTACGAAAACAAATTAAAGAGTCTTACCCAGAGATTAAGGTGAAAAGATAACGATTGGTTAAGAACCACAGATATAAGAACTCTTACGAGAAGAAACTAAAGAGTCTCACATAGAGATTAAAGTGAATAGACCACAACCGGTCTATGGTCTGTAGAAGCCACAGATATACGAAATCTTACGTAAACAAACTAAAGAGATTAAGGAGAAAAGATAATGATTTTTTAAAAACCACTAAAGAGTCGTACACAGAGATTAAAGTGAATAGACCACAACTGGTCTATGGTCTGTGGAAGCTACAGATATAAGAAATCTTACGAAAACAAACTAAAAAGTCCTATCCAGAGACTAAGGTGAATAGATTACGATTGGTTAAATGCCACAGATATAAGAACTCTTACGAAAACAACCAAAAAAGTCTTACCCAGAGACTGAGGTGAACAGATCTGGACTGGTTAAAAGCCTCAGATATAAGAACTCTTACGAAAACAAACTATAGAGATTAAGGTGAATAAACTTTACTGTAACATAACGTGATAATAGCGATGAATTATCATATTTGTTGCAAATCCACTTAGATTATATAAAATGATTTATCAAGGACATAACAAAGTCATTAACTCAAAACTATCAGAAAAATGTATAAAATCAAGAGTATTATGAAAATAATAGTATCCAGTATATCTAAAAGTTTAATTTAACTTTAACATAATTTGAGGGCTGATTTCTGTGTCAAGGCAATATAGGTACATATACACATTGCAAGGAAACATACTCTCAATTGATTTATAGGTCCCCAAACTAAAATTTTGAATTCATCTCACAAAATATCCTCAAATTTATTTCTAAAGTAACGTATGTATTTCCACAATATTCAATTGCTTGTATATATTTACTTAGTATCGTTGATAGGAGTATTTTGTATTTTGTATTTTGTATCTGTAAACGCATTATTATTAATTTCGAGATATATAAATTTTATTGTTTGCATTTAAGTCTCACACATGAATCCATTTCCGAATTTGTCTTCTTACTTGAGTTGTGATTAAATACTTATATGAACATTTATTTGGATGTTTTCCTTCTTCACAGTTTTAATATTAGTTTTGCAATCCATTCATTCATTTTCTTAAAGCAAATATACAGATACACAAACCATAAGATACACATTTTGAAAATTATTTAACTTAAGTTTTACTTTATTGCTGTTGAGAGTTGTTATTATTTATTGTTTATTTTCCAGATTACATTCAATAAAAATTTAAGAAATTAAACAGAATGAATTATTTAAATTTTCATTTCATCTCTGAATTTCAAAATTTGAAAATATGAAAATAAAATCAAATAGTTAACACAAATAAATGGAAATACTTTGTCCCCACTGACCAATTCATTTATATTTTATATAATAAAATTATTGCAAAACTTTTCTAAATTGTTTAAATTGCTTGTTCTTGTTTAAACAAAATGAAAATACTTTCCTAAATTGTGGAAATATAAAATAAAAAAAAAACTTACTATTCACTATTTGCAAATTAGAGTACAACGAATATTACTTCTTCGAAAAGATTTTCTGAACTTTAATAGAAATATTTCTATTTTAATCCTTTTATCTACTATAGCTCATAAGGGAACATATCTTTACCATAGTCGAATTATTCTAGAAAATGAACAAAATTGTAAAAGTGGAAATAAGGTAAATATGAATACAACATCTTACACATCTCAAATGTATCTTTAAGTTAAATTTTTCTTTAAAAATTGTCTTCTTCGTTTTTGAAAATACAATAACAATAAAAGTAAATAACAAATAATATTGATTGTTAACTCATATAGTTAATTAAAAACTAACGAATAGTTTCACTTAATCACGTTTGATAAGCGGTTCACTTGGCACAAGCATACACAAATCAAAAGAAGTAGTTCCGCAAAAACACTGCAATGCACATTGCACAACCACTTTTCAGACACAACAGAATAACAGAAGTGAGAATAACAGAAAGCTGATCTACAGCCAGATAATTAGACCAGCACTACTTTATGGGTGTGCAGCGTATAGCTAAGCTGCCGACTCTACTATCCAGAAGCTGCAAGTTGCTCAAAGTCAGGCTCTCCGAAGACTCTTCAAAGTGCCATGGTACATCCGCACGAATGACATGCTAAGAGACCTTAGGATAGATCCGGTCAAAAAATACGTAAGGAACAGAGCCTTGAAGCGATATGCGAAAACCAACAGGCTGCCCTACTTAGCACTATCTAATCTCAGAGTAATCACAAACCGCACAGGGCGGTACGCAGATCTTAGATCAGTCATTGAATAATCACGAAGCTTATGAGGAATACACAAATTAGTCAGTGAGATGGGTGCGACTCTGCAGAAACCCCTCAGCTATCAAAGAGTAAAAGTGCCCAGATAAGAAGTAAGAATTTTTTTATAATAAGATTTTTCCTGTCCCTTTATGAAATACCCGCCAAAGAGATCATATGACTTCCTTATTAACTTCATTATTTCTATTATTCTAAAAAGTAAAAAATTTAATTCGTGGTTTAAAAACTTATATCAGTATTAACTCCGTTTTATAATTTTTGTAAATATTGCTTAACAAAAAAAACTGAAAAATCTTTTTTTTTATTATATATATATTTATCATATATATATTATCATATATATATTATCATATAGCTATATATTTTTAGGATAATTTTATATAAAATCATCACACAAAATACTATTAGATAAATCGATTTATTCCAAATGTTTCTAGTAATAAATTTAAGGACCTAAATGAAAGAATTATTGAAATAAACAAATTCCCTATTGAAATAAATTTAGATAAAAATTAAAACACAAATTTAAATATTTATTTCTGATTTGATACCGAAAATACTCTAACAAATTCTTCTGTTGTATTTATGGATATTCAATCTATTATAAATTTTTGCTATAATTTCGATACAGCAAAATATTTAAGTATTTATTTGTTAGTTTGACATAGTTTAGTGTGTATACATTCAATCAGGAAGACTTCAAAACATGCCAAATAAAACTTATTTGTTTGCAATTTTCAATTTTGAATAAACAAATCAATCTGCAATTAAAGGACATTCATTCATGGATGTGCTTGTTTGGCTGATATATATTCTAACGGACTGACGAATTCCCATTTCCCATTTCCCATTTATTGAAACTTCAAATGATTCGAGTTGGTATTCGGTAAATTAATTTTGAACATTAATGCTCAACATTTGAAAAACAAATATTAAATTAAAAAACTTTTTTAAATGTTTTTTAATTAAAAGAAAACTCACGTTGTCAATTATACATGCAATGAAATTCCTTGATATTCTTTAATTAAATTTAATTGATTGACTATACAATTTTATTGATAAATAAATGATAAATAAAAATCTTTAATATGTATATAAAAATATTTCACTTATCAACAGATGTTGAAGTTTAGCAAGCGATTGGATTCCAGCATTCAATGGTAGTTGACCTCTGATTAACTATTTGGCTGTATGCCGACGTCGATGCACAGAACCAAGAAACAACTACTCTCATTTTATTTTTATTCAATGAGAATCCAAGTTTAGATTTCTCCAAATTTGGATTTCTCATTGAGACCACAGTGAGAACCCTTTAAATATATTACGAATAAAGATAGTAGACACAATATGCCACCGTTTGATCATTTCAGAAGAGTCCTCAGAAGACACAGGTTGTTTAACTTCCTTATTGCAAGTAATGCTTAATATTGCTGTATTATTTAGTGCAACAGTTAAACTGGCTATTAAACAAATATATCTAAGCATTGTCAAGCAAGAACAAGGTCAGATGAAACTTTTTGTTAAATCTCCAGATTGATCTGATCTAAACTAGACAAAAATACAAAAGTTGGCGCTTCAACTAAGGAGTAACCAGCTCAGTACTATGGTATCGATGATGACGGGTCACTGTATAATAGGAAGACATGCTATGAATATGGATCTATCTTAAAACAACATTTGTCGAGGTTGTGACTTTGCGGATGAGAAGGAAACTACTTTATAAGCAAGTAGTTGGACCTAAACTATTTTATGATAGTGTTATTATGGCAATACTTATACATTCAGCATAAACAATTTCACAATTTAACTTGTCAAAATATTGTGTTGAGACTTAACCTAACTACTCGCCACTTACCACACCCATTGATGAATCGAAGGTTCACAATGCGGACTACAAAAACTACTTTAGGTACATAAGATTGCACGAGATCAACGCATTTTCCATAATTCCAATTTAGATTTATTGAGAGAGAACACCATTTTATAATAGATTATCGTACGAAATAAATAATAATTCATTGCACAATAGCAGCAGGTCTATGATCATAATTATATCGTTAATTAAAGGCATGTATTCACACAAATCGGGCAAATTATACATTTTTCCTATAAAAATAAAAAAAATACTTTTCTACATAATTAAATGAAGTAAGAAAATATTAGCATCCGGCTTTCTCGCCGAATTTTGTTAATTTATTATTTAAAAAAAATTGAGAAATTGTAAAAATTATAATTAAAATTATAATTAACTTAATTTGAAGTTAAAAATTTGATGGAAGGTCATCTTCCTTTTGTGGTTCCGTTTTTATTTTTCTAATAATAATATCGTCAGAATCTTTGACTTCTGATAATCGGAAACTGTTTTCATTGGCTACATGTAGTAGGGAATAAAATGACGTGATAGGTGTTAAGGACGATGCATTTGGTTCCGAAACCACGTCAGGCAACGAAGAATACATTTTTTTAAATGATGCTATACCATCTTCTTCTTCTTTTGCACTCACTTCAAATTGTAAGTCCAGCAGTGATTTGCAGCTTGCTTTTAAGTTCTTCATATCAATGCGACGGTCATGTTTGGCAAATGGAACAACAACCTTTGTTACCTAAAAAAAAATTATGTATATAATAACATTTTTGTTTAAATAAAAATTATATATATATATTTTAAAACAAATCAAAAATTTGATATGAATATGAAATTAATGATACTGATTATATGTAAAGTAGCTTACTTCCATACACGTCATATTAAAATGTTAACTTTCAATGTAATTATTATATAAAGAAGAAAAAAACGCAAAGTTTAGAAGAATACAGTCTAGTAGACTGGGGGAAGCGTCAATGACTAAAGTCCCAGACTTGAATCCGAACTTGAAGAGACTTTTTATGATTTTATGTCTCACTTCGTTTAGTTTTATTTCATTTATTTTTTTTCATTTATTTTCTTTGTTTCTTCAATTTGTCTCCTTTTATATTTTCCAATTTATTTTATTTTCCGTTTTTTTTCTTTTATTTTTAAATTACTTTTTTTTTAAATTTCCTTTTTTTCAAATTTATTTTTGCAATTATTTTTTTTTGCAGTTTTTTGCAACTACGGCATTTCAGGACGTCAAGTGATCATAGACGTTGCCAATCAGCTTCGTAAAGCTTACTATGCGTTTGCCAGCTTTAACAAAGTTTGGAGAACAAGGGACTAACAACTAAAAACAAAAATAAAAATCTTTGACTCTTATACAAAAAAATTATAAAAGAACACAGTGAACTGTTCTCCAAGCAACACCCCTTGCGTTCCACTCAGATCATCACCACAATGACGTCATCATGTACAGTAGAGTCCACGCTCTAAGATGTATCCGTCCATTCCTTTAATAGTTATACCGACAACTTTTGAAATGAATATAAACGTGCAGTACACTCTTTAAGACCACGGGTGCACCGCAACAAAGTTCTCATTATATATATATATATATATATTTACAAATTAACAGAGAAACAATATATATTTACCATGAATTAGATTAAAACTTAGTGAAAGTAGTGTTATTGTTAATGAATTTTCATTATTAAACTGATTTTATGTAATTCAACGCTTACTTGAGGAGGCGCTCCATCCAAATCTGTAGTAATTTCCAAAATCGTATCATTGCATTCCTCCGATTTAGAATCGACACCTGAGACTATATCATCATCAAGGTGATTAACGGAATTCGCAATATTACCAGCCGATTCGTTGGCCATCGTTTTAGCCAGTTTTGAATTTTGCGTGCCATAACCTTTAGGTGCGAGCCAGCTTCGCATTAATGTATTTTTTTTAATATGTAAGTCAGTAGGTAATTTTAATTTGCGGTCATCCCACTTTTTGTATACATTATTACGCCGTTGTTGATTTGTGGCCCTCTCATTAGGCAGATACAAACTCTCGTCTACGTCTACTCCAAATATAAGGGGTTTTGAACGTGCCTTAACCACTTGTGTACGTTGTGTCCGTTGATTTATTAGTCCACCATTTTGAGTATTCCTCGACTGACTTGGACAAAGTGGTTTGAACTTCCAATGGGAAGGACCAGCCCAAAACCCTAAAATTTTATTTAATGGAAAATAGGAATATTCCAAGTTGGATGAATCGATAGAGCGTAAGTCCTTTATAATTTCAACTGAACGGCGTAAACCTTGACATCTATTTATTGCAGTTACTTCCTCTGAAAAATATCAACATTTAAAAAAAATTAGTTATAAATTAAAAATGTTCATTTATTTAGAATTGCGGAAGCTTAAGTATTCTTTAACTAGATGATTTATATAAAAATTAGTAACGATTTCTAATATATTTGACTCTGTTTATTTTTTATTTAAATAAAAATAATTTGTATTTTTTTTTATTATTTATTCAATTGCATCTAGTTATAAATAAAAACTAATTAGCAATATGTTTATGGTATATCAGGAACTTAAAATAGTGGATATTAATCCTTATCTATAATATTATAGAATAATGATTAATATTTAAATTACGAGGTCTTCTGTTTGAAGGACTGAAGAAGCTTCTATATTGCAGTGAACTTCAAGTCTTTTTTTATGTGCTTCTGCCTGAAGCGTGACTATTCCAGTAACTCTCGGAACATACAAGTCACGATGAAGGTCGCTGTTATGGACATACCATGAAGCATTAGCAATTGTTCTTAGGATGTTGTTCTGATATCTTTGGACTATCTGCCTATTTGACTTAGATGTGCAACTTCAGAGTTGCGATCCATTAAAATAATTTGTATTGACGCTATATAATATTATATAAATATACAAAACTTTTATCGCTTTAGTTTGATTAGCTTGCTGAATCAATATACTCTTAGGGTATAGATATAGGGTATAAAGTATAATAAAAAATTCGAAGAGAATACAGTTAATTCAGTTAAAGTTAAACACGCTTAAAAAACAATATATAAAGACCAGAGATTACGAGCGATAAAGAAACCACTGACACGTTTGTATTACTCATTATGATCTAATATGATCAACCACACAAGTGGCAGAATGGCAACTAATTTAAATTTCCTGGATGATGACCATCTCTCTACTTCGATATAGCTTACAAATCTTTTACCTGAAGAACAACAACAATAATAATGTTGTATTTTTTGACACGTGTGGTATAGCTTATTTCATTAATAGAGAGACCACTGATTAACAAAAATAACATACTAAGAACTCCTAAAGCTAAATCCGGTTTTGCAATGTATTTTGGTATTGTGTATGGTACGGTCCTAGCTGACTGATTATAACAGTTCCTGTTCACATTTGGCAGTGAAATTATACATTGGCTATATAATACTGCATTGAGCAATCTTTTTGGACAGAAACAATTAATATATATTAGTTCGCAATCTATGTTACTTCAGTAAGGATATGTACATCAAATTTTATAACTTTCAGTTGTACACCATTTTTACTCAAAATTAAAATACTTTTTTATTGAAAATATTATTTTTTATTTTACTAGCTACTTTCAAAACAGTGTTTTCTCACATATGCCAACGCTTAACCCAATCTTCCACACACTTTCGCTAAATGCTCTTGAGGTAGTCTCACATTAACAACTGCTGTAAGCAAACTAATTGACAGATGGCGCTCAAATTTGTACCATATGTCCAGAAAGGGTGTACCAACATAACAAAAAAAAATTGTTTGAAAAAGGTCTATTACTTAAGGAGTAGTTAAGAAACAACAAAATCCGAATACTTTTTGAGCAGAAGGTCTATTAGTTCTCTACATAGTTTACGAAATTAATATAAATAAAATAACTTACCTAATGTTAAGGCATCGTGTTCAGAAAAATCAATATCTAACAAAGATTTTTCGGGATCAAGACATACTGGCTCACATTCAGCATCCATATCAAATTTTACATCTATTTCTGATGGTGTCAAATTTTGTGAAGATTTTTTTTCAATTTTACTGGTTATTGTGTAACCAGTATATAGTGATCTAATATGTAAATCACTATATATTGCTTCTTCTTTAGTTTCCACTAAATCGCCATTTTTAAGGTCTATATGTAATATTTCCTCAAATATATTTGCAGGAACATCAGATTGAGCAGCATCATCTTCCACTTCTAATGTATAATCGATTTCTTTATCGGACGCCGCCCAATAACCAAAATTTGCATCCAATTGTAAATTTAAATCATTTGTCAGTAAAAAGTTGTTCATTAAATTTTTTGGTGTCTTTGTTAACCCATGAACTTTACTAAGTCTGCCAAATATGGCATCATCCATTGGAACAGTTTCCAATAAACCGTTTAAAGTGTGTTTATTTATGGTAACTGTGCTTGTTGGACGCCGAATCCGTTTTTTTGGTTTATGTGGATCAGCCTTTATGTCCGGTAGAGTTGCAGCTAAACCTGCGGAAAAACGCACAACGTCACTGTATACAGACTCTACACGTAAATCGTAAACCTTTGATGAAGCTTCTAGCAAAGGGCAAGCAACCTTAAAAAATAAATCATGTTCATATTTTACAACAAAAACTAAATTTAATGCACAAAAATATACTTACTTTAAAGTTATTCAAAAAATTGTGGTTATGCTCAAGCCAATCAGAAAATGTTTGAATAACTGATATTGACCATGCATTATCACGACTGATTTGATTTTTCTGGTGAATTTCCAAACATTTATTTATATTTTCATTTTCAGTCATCAAGTCTTCCTTGGATACCGTGCGGCTACAAGCCAAATGACGCTCCTCTTCATCATCATGTGATGGAGGTTCTCTTATATCAGTTACTCCAGACAACTCGCGTATATTTGAAGGCAACATTGTTTTGCTAAAAAATGTATTTCATGATAAAATTTTTTCTTTTTATATTATCGGCAATCGCTATGAACTCAGAGCAACTACTATAACCACTGCTTTGACTTTTGATTAAAGTACCAAAGCGAACGAATTATAGATATTTATTTGAGATCTCGTAATCAACTAATTTTGATTATTGACATTTGCTATATACTATCAATTAGGACGCTGAGTGACGCTTACTTGGCAAATTTACCTTTGTATTTTTTGTGTATAAATAAAACCTATCGTGTATAAATAATAATAATAATAATAATATAGTTAATAGTTACCATTCAATTTCTGGAGATATCTTAGAAATTTTATTTCTTGAAACAAGCAAAAATGGAGGCTTTTTAAAGTTTTTCCGAGTAGAAAACGAAGTGAAAAATCCTTAATAAAACACTTTTAGCAAGTTCCAGAATTAATTGAAAATATTTAATTAAAACTAGTTGCATATATATCAAAATTGAAGTCACGAATCGCGAATCACGAATTTTGTGTAATGATATATATACCAACCTTAAAACCAAACCTCAATTATAAAAACACAAACAGCTCAAAAAACGATCCGACTGCCGACTCGTCTCTTGAAAAAGTAACCAATAAGAAAGAAAACTTGTGACGTTTTTTCAAAATTAATATAAGTACATTTGACAGGCCATACACAGATTCACTCGATCGAACTATATTAATTTGGTTTATGCTTTAAGCAGGTATTACACATGATGTTTATTGGCTAGGCGTGACGTTACACAGTGAAACGAGTTCTTATAAGCAGCGGCCAAAATTTATAAATGCTATGCTATTCTACTGAAATTTCATATATAAGCTTATTTTGTTGATAATAAGAAATTTCCGAAGTACGTACGTTGTCTTTCTATTTTTTAACCCACCTGCCACACAAAGTTATTCGTCAAAATTAACAAACACAAATCAATTTCATTAAAATTTTGCATAAATAAATGTTTTTATAATACAAAAATATTTATAAATAATGGGTATGGTTCGCCTATTTTTACGCACATATGCCCCACAAAGTTAATCATTCAAAATAATAAATATTGATTAATTTCAGTGAAATCTATACAAATTTTTATTACCCATCTTACTTCATTATCAGAATTATATAAGCAAAGCTTAAATTTATATATTAACAACATAATTCAGATATTTCTTCCATCAAAATTATGAGAGTCTGTAGTGTCAAACACAAAACTCAAAAAATTAATTTTCCTACTGTGAAATAAAGGACTTTTACGTATTTGCTTACGATTGGCCTCTATGGTCTCATCAGATAATATTCCGATAGGAAGATCAAATATTCCAATTGTATTCATTCCATGAATAAGTATTATATGAATAGTAACATGAGATATTGCTTACTTCAATCGCCTTTTCTACGCCTTTTTATTTGTGTTAATTGAAACAGATTTCCATCCCTTAAAACAGAATGAAATTTGCATAAAAGCCGACAATAATCCGATTGTATACGAAAAAAAACGAGCAAGACTGACGAAATAACAAAATTTTTGATTTCCAACGCTTCACTTGTCATTCCTACAAATGTTGCCACTACACAAGAAACTTGGCATAAAAAGCGCCCGGCAAACAAGTCCGGCGTCCTGTGTAATACCCGCATTATTTCACAAGGGGCTATTCATTAGGTCTGTTCCAGAAGCTACTCGTTGTAAAATTCAAGTACAACACAAGTAAAATACAAACTGAGAGCGTAACACAAAGAAAGTGCCAAATTACGCTCTTTACACAGAATTTCATGGAACAGCTTTGTGTAAAGTTTGGTGCGAACGCCAGTGCCGCGCAAATAAACAAAATAAAAATTTAAATTCAAACCAAAATAGCTGATTTACACAATGACACAAAATTCACTTGAAATAAAATGTGCGAGTAAAGTCTGTATAGCATTTTCAAATTTCGACAGGGATGTTACATTCTCTCAGATGCTCTCATTTACTTGAAAATTTGCTGGTGGAAAGTACTTCTGTATACACAGTGTTACTCAAAGTTACTACGAGAAGCTCGTGGAATAGACCTATTTTCATTTCAAGTAATTATTAAATCGGATTGGCACATTATTTAATTATTAAGTCCAAATACAATTTTAATACTACATATGTTAAATTATATAAAATTGGTCAATACTCTGACATATTCGGATGTGAATCACATCAAAATCATTTCATAAAATTACGGGCGCCTCTTGTTTGTACCGATTAGCATTCTGACACCTATACCTCGGTTAACAGCCATTTCGTACAACAGTACACTCTATTAACGACTCAGCCGTATTTCTAACCGTGTTTCGCTTAACAGTGAAGAAAATTATAAATATTATGTCTTTTATAATGCAAGTACGTGCTAATTTGATAATCAAAGAGCTGATGTAATAGATGTAATAGTAAACATAGATCAGTCGTGGAAGAAAATAAAAATATAATCTCTTAACAGATTTTGGATTGCGTTGAGTAAACCATATGCTTGAAGCTGATACTAACATAAACGAAAAATTAAACGGGATATATATGTTAATATATAATAGGTATATATATAATATAAAAATAGAAGAAATTGAAGAACCAAAAGAAAGAGAGTTAGGCATTAACTGGATGCAAAAATAGTCATTTTCACAGTCATGTTCTTCCCTAACTGGTTTCCCTAACATAAGGTCTTTTCGGTGGCTTTCAAGTATGGCAAAAAATAACAATTTGCCTATACTGGCCGAAATGTACGCAAAACAAACTGTTTTTTCTATCTCGGCGGTATAGTTAAACTGACCACACACTTTGGGCAGTAAAGAAACAAATATTACCAACGCAATAAACTAACTGTTATGAACCTTCATTAGAAACTCCAACGAATATTGAAATCATATGTCAAAAATCATATGTAAACAAAAATTTAGAATTTACTCTTAGTCACTAATTACTACCTAGCAAGAACATCGGCCCTTCCTCCTCTCATTTGTTCACAGTTTTGGCTTAGATTTATTTGTTGTCTAAATACTAAGCCTTGTTTATTCTAACGTCTGCCTTCGCCTTGATACCTGGTAAAAAGTTTCAGCATGAGAGTATTTACTATTTTGTGTATTTTCATAAAATAAAATCAAACTATAGAAGTAATCAGAGGATTGATAATTCGATATTCGATAAACGTCTCAAGTTCAAGTTTTAATTCTTTCTCGCCAAAACTGAAAAATAAAATTATCAAAGCAACTGATTCTGTTTGTTTTGTTATATATATAAGTAATACCATGTTTTCACTGGTCTCACTATCTCATTTAGGCGGTTTTGTTCATTATACCCACTAATGAGGATGATTTACCGTACAAAAAGTTTTCATATAAATGAGCTTATTGCCAATAAATCAGCTCATTTAAGGTGAAAAATGTCAAATGCACCGCTTAAAAATAAATTTCTAGTAAGGTAAATTACCGAAATTTGAAATATGTGTCATATGTTTTGTATGTGAAATGTAAGCAAACAACAGCTGAGCTGTAAACAAAAGCATTGAGCAAGTCTTTAATAAAATATTTGTTTTTATCCGCCTTTTACTATTTGAGTATGTAATTGATATATAAAATGTATATAAATAATTTAATATATCAATCATATAATTAATTTTTTTGTATGATATGTATGATATGAAGTGAAGTTGTAAAAGTTTATAAAAGTTCTATCAGCTGCATAAATGAGCTCATTATAATCTTATCGTACACTCATTAAACTAAATGAGCAAGTGCCTTAATGAGACAGTGTGAATGTACTATAATCAGATTTTTTTATATTAAGAAGAAAGTGTAAAATATCGCGCAACTGTCACCTTTATAATAAAAACGGAGATATAAATTTCTTTATTTTTATACAAAATAAAAGGAATTAATATACCCAACTCTCAATTAAAGTCGAACTTTGATTGAGCTTATTTTTATATGAGGAATCAAGCGTCGATAACTGGTTTCGAGCTCAAAGTCGACGTTCACCACAAAGTTCGCAATGTAAACATGTTATAATCTTAAAGTTTCTGTAATGCATCCTATAACTACATTGCAACACATAAAAATGCAACATTGCAAAAAACCACAAGCTTGAAATATCAGACATTTGCTTTTCCTTGGCGAGGAGAAGTTTCTCGAAATCTTGAAATCTAAAGTTGAAGTTAAAATTTAGTTATGTTTTTGAATAAATCTTTTCAACGTAGAGCAAACTTAGATGTGGCTTCAAAGAGAGCATTAAATACACCGGTTCTAGAGATTGCTAACATAAATACAATTGTTAAGTGTTGCAATGAAATACCCAATTGTGACTGCTCCAGGTAAGCTTTAATTCTACATTTATACATATAAATTTTATGCAAAGAAGTTGTTAGAAAAACATATTTGCTTAGGGCCTAAGCCATTTTTGTCCTGAGCGCTACCGCATTGTTCGTATAAAAACGGTTTTCCCCGATTTTGAAAAGGAGAAGTATTAAAATGTTTTCCGCCTTTTATTTTCTGCTAATGGCCTAAAACCAATGCGTTGGTTAAAAAATAAAATCAGTAAAGAATATAAAATAAAGCTTAAAAGAACTCCAAAAAAATTTCATAGACTAAAAGGGCTAGCGGCGGGTCTCAAAATACTGATGAATCAGCAAGCAATACGTCATAAGATCAGCAGAAGTAGTCTTGTGAAATAGGATGATCCTCCAAACAAATGTTTTAATCGCAACAGTATCGCATCTGTAGATACACATAAATCAGTAAACATCGTAAGCACATCAGTAGCTCTGGAGAGATACAGAGATACTCATAAAGAAAGCAAAACACCTCTTAAGTTCTTAATTCTACCATTGCTTTGTTTATTTCTTACGTTTTACAGTAGTTTTTATATATATAATATATATATATATAATGTATATATATATATATATATAATGATTATATATAATATATATATATATATATATATATATATAATGTATATATATAATGATTATATATAATTATATATATATATATACACTGACGAATATAATTATTGGCACAGCAAGCATAATAAACTTTAGCACTGTTTTTACCCCGTTAATAAAGCGATTTTTAATTAATAAAATTTTTTTATATAAAATATTTAATTTGCTTATATATTCATTTTATTTTATTGAATTATCTCTTAAAATTAATTTTTTAAAATTAAAAAACCAAATGACATGGTAGTTTAGTTTCTATCTGAAAACGTTATGATTGCCTATAATATTAAAAAATCCATTTTGAACAAACTAAGCAGTAAAGATAAAGAAACCACCGAATCTCAGCGGAAAATAATTCTATGTTTGCACAATCAAGCGAAATCTTATGTCGATATTGGGCCATTACGTCAATCGGAGAATTATGCACCATACTAAGACGGGGACATCATTGCAAAATGCTAAGAACAGACGCCGAGCTAATGCATTGAGCCGCCGTAAACGCAGCAAAATAATAAGAAAGGTAAAGGTCAACTCAAAAATTACTTCAACCCAAATCGCAGCTGAACTTAACTGAGAGTTTGGCAAGGATATTCATCGCATTACAATCAGGAGTATATTGCATGAAATGAATTACAGTAGGCGTATTGCTAGATGAAAACCGTTAATTTTGCAGGTCAACCACCAAAAACATTTATAGCCTATGCAAAGAAGTACTTAAGCAATCTAATCGACATTTGGAAGGGGTAAAAATCTTCGAGGTGTAATATTCTAGGATGAAAGAAAATTTAATATATTTCGATCCACCAAACGAAAAAAAGAATTCTGCTATATCTGTGCAAAATTATGTTTATGTGGACGCCCATGTCCTATGCAGGTGTCGGTAAATTGGAATTCATTGATAGCATTAGATATAAAACATGTTATAGGAATAGCCTTCCTCAAGAGAAATGTCAAAGAAAAAGCCGAAACCTTGAGTTTATCAGCAATGATCTGTAGCAGATGGTTGATGATGTGCGTATATAACTCGCGCTGCATGCAAAACATACATTGTCTCATGCACCCCAATCTACATATCTCAACCCCATTGAATAGTTGTGAAAAGAATTGAATAGACGTCTAAAAAAGTGCGCTATAACAACAAAGACAGAACTGAAGATGGCACTGCTGAAGAGTGGCAAATAATTGGACCAAAAATGACACAAAAAAATAGTTTCTTTGACGCCAAGACAATTGGAAGCTGTTTTTAAACAAACGAGCTTAGCGACTAAGGTTGTGTGCGAGTTCGAGTAAATTGATGGTAAATTGAGGGAAATAGTAAATTATGTCATACGGCAGCAAAGTTTGGCATTTACCAGAGTTTCGAGTAGTGTAAATTAGATAAAAATTAGGTAAATTAGGTGTTACCATTGTGAAAATTTTATAAGATGTTTAATAAATAAATAAATAAACTCGAAAACTTTTAACCAAAAATTATAAATAAGTGCAATAAATAAATAAATAAATATTTACATAAGTGCAATGCAAAAAATCTCTACAAAATTTCAATTTACTTTGCCTCAATTTACTCGAACTCGCACACGTCCTAAATATTAATTTTTTTTTATTTTTTCATAAAGATGCCAATAATTTAGTTGAGCCTAATTTAGTCTGTTTTTTGATTTTTTAATTTTTAAATATTAAATTTGAGAGATTTTACTATGCAATAAATGAATTTAATTGTAAATTAGACATTTTATATAAAAAATTTTTTATTTACTAAAAATCGCTTTAAAAATAGGGTAAACATTAGTGCTGTTGGTATTCGGTTTTACGAAGTATTTGGAGAATCCGATTAGTCGGATAGTAAAGGAAGTCTTCGGAGTTGAATTTTAATTTGAATCTGATTTTTTTAAATCCGGATTCTTCGAATATCCGGATTTCCGATTATTATTCGTAGTAAAATTATTTGGAAATATATGTAAAATTTTAACAATATTTATGCATATATAAAGATATTATTTTTATTATTTTATTAGTAATGGAAATTTAAATAACAAACACACAAAATCCTACAAACATCAGAAAATTCCATCACCCCTAATTTGTGATTATTTGTATGATGCAAATTCATTTGCATTTGGTGCTTTTCCTTTAACTTTCACCCACGAAGTCTCCGAGTAATTTCACAACGAGTAATAATCACAAATCCGAATATTCGAAAACTCTAGATTTACAAAAAATCCAATTTTATTTTCAACTCCGGAGACTTTGTTGCTATCCGATTAATCGAATAATCTGATAACTTCAGTATTTTAGTGAACAGCACTAATAGAAACCGTGCTAAAGTTCAATATGGTTGCTGTGCCAATAATTGTGTTCGTCACCGTATATGGTTGGTTGGTTGCAGTGGTAGATCATGTAATAACTTTCATGTACCTAAAGACTAAATCCATCCCGTCGAATTTAGGTAATTTCATAGGTCACTTGTCACCGATGAACGGTCTGACAAACTGACAAAGAAGTATCTTCCTAAAAACCTATTTCTTCTAGACACCAAAGCCGGGCATTCACAGAGAAAGTGCATTATGTTTTTTTTTTCCAACGGGTTTGCACAACTTCTACAGTGAGGATTATAAGGAATGCGAAGTTTACCTGCATAGGTTCCTTCTCACCAATGACCAGAAAGAAACACAGTAAGCCTTGCGGTATTCACGCGGTCTCTTTTGATGAGTTCCGAGGATGTAATTTTATTATAGGTGGGCCATGTTAGCCTGAAAGTTGCACACGTTTTAAGTGCTTTCCATCTGTTATTGGCAATTTAAAGAAAGTAGAGATAAGTACTTCTCTTATTGGCACATCCAGAAAAGTATCAGAGTGGGTTAAACTGTCAGCTTTCTTATTCAATTCGACGTTACCAAGTCCAGGAACCTAGATGAGAGTGATGTTAGGCAACCAATTTAGCTCGCCCATTACCTCACTACATTCTTTAACTATCTTTGATTATGTGGTGAAGAATTGAATGGCTTTAATTGCTGCCTGGCTGTCAATAAAAATAGTAACACTACATTTGTCGTTGACGTGACTTGCAATTTGCCAGCATATTTCTCTAATTGCTAAGATTTCATCCTGAATAACCTGAAAAACTCATTAGGTGGCCTAAGAGAATTGTTTATGTTTTCAAATGGCGCGAAGATCGCAGCTCTTGCCCCGCAGTTCATTTTCGAGTCATCCGTATAGATCCGATGTTACAGACAGTTTGAAACTGTATCTAGAATCCGACTATGTCTATATGTTCGTTCCGACCAGACGCCTGTTGCTTTCAGTCTAATAGCGCTGTTAGAAACTATATTTTTGATGTGAAGATCAATAAGTAGCAGGGTAGGTATCATCACGTTCAGGGCTCATATGACGCTAACGCATGCCATCCTCTGAATTCTGTTGAGTTTACCAATATTATAGCTCTTACTCAGAGCTGTCCACCAAACAACAGCTCCATACGTGATAATTGGACGTACAATGGCTGTACGTACACAACACAACATCACTGTATATATCATATGATTTTTTTTTTGTGTTGATAATAATGTATTGCATATTGATCCAAACAATAACACCTTATCGAACTGAAAATAATATTACTTTTAAAAAATTTTAAATAAAAAAGTAAAAGGAAATAATTGTCTAAATTCTGATTTAAGTATATATGTATGTATATAGTCTTCCGTCGGTGTGATGAAGGTAATATTGAAAAATTTTTCCTTGATACGGATTTTAACAAGCTTTCCGCTCAACGGTGTAAATCGCTGGACTGATTTTAACAGTCTCTTGCTTCCCACAAAATCGCATCCAAATTCACGCCTATTTGTAAGGTAGCTGTAGTAGATCTGTCCATCTCATTTCCTGGCTGGTGGTGACGTCAGTCTTACATTTATTAATGGCTTTCGTCAGTTGGATAGAGGTACCTTCCCTATAGAAGATCAGGATATTCCAAGCACATATTCGTAAATTACAGTCCTTTGTTCGTTTGTGAGGATCGTCCGCCATCCAGCTCCAATTCCGATGCATTCTTACTTCATTCACTGCCGCCTGATTTTATGTGACAGCGCTGATATTTTCCATATTATATGCAATCAGATACGGTGCTTTGTGTACTCGCTCGCTCCCAATTATAATAGTACTATTTAGTAGCTCACGTTACACTTTATTTGTACTATTTAGTAGCTCACGTTACACTTTATTTGTATGTTTTAAATCCTTCCTTCACTTTTTTTTACTGTTATTTGAAATTAGGATCATCTGAAATTTTTTATTATGATAAATTTGACAATCAAATTACAATGATTTGTCGTGTGAATCGATATTTTTGCTTTTGATATCGGATGTCAGTTTAATATTTTTGACAGCTAAAATCACAAAGAAAACTATGGTGTGAATCCAGTATTAGATCTAATAATAATTTTTTATACACAATTATTAAAATAAAAGCAAAAAGTTGTAAGCCAATTGCAAGAAAACTAAAACAGTGCTAAATACTGCTCATTTAGCATTAACTAGTGATGTTACAAGTTTGAAAATTATATGAACCTTGCCAATAAATTTTTTGTGCCATTGATTTTATATATATATATATATATATTTATATAAAAAAAACTTATAAAATTTAACCGCAAATTTGTTTGAAATTTTCTTACTTGTCATATGTTTACTGGTTTTGGCAGTGATGCCAAGTTATTCTTATGCACCAAAATTTGTTCTATTAGAGCATTCATGACAAAAGAATACACCCAGAGTTAGGTTTCACCATCAAAATTTTTTTTGCTTCTTAAGTTTTAGTGCAGCCAACTTCAAAAGTTAGTCTATTGTGAATGTTCACTGGAAATATATTGCAAAATTCCAGTCTTCCGTTAAAATCATTAGAGCATTTCATTTACTAATAAATCCAAATACATAAATAAATAAATTAGAATTTCATTTACTAATATATCCAAATTCATAAATAAATTAATTAATTTAAATATTTAAGACAAAAATTGTCCTTCTAATATTCATTTTGTTTTCTTCTATTTAAATTAATTAATTTTTAGCATTTACAATTTTAATATATCATATTAGACCTTTACTTTTGTAAGCATATCAGAAAAAACAACCGCTTATTTTAAAAATAACATATGAAATCTTTTAAATTCGCTTAACTAATAAACAGCTCAAATCACATGGTTGCCAAGACTAAAAACTCTATTGTGAACGATTTTTGGAAGAACAAACAAAATTTCCAGTTAACTGTCAACGAATGATTTCGTTAATTCTTCGTATTACGTATCGTCATTATTCGTAACTAATACGTCACTTTTCTATTTATTATTTTACTGTTAAAAGGCACGAAAATTCATATTTTATTCACAATAATGTAAAAAAAAATATTCTTACCAATATTTGAAAAGAATTATAATTCATTATCAAAATTTTAACTTTAAATTTTATTACGTGTTTTGAATATATAAGCCTAATAAAATTTCGATTTTGCCCAGAGTTGCCATCGAAATTAGTGCTTATTTTATTTGTTCTTTAGCGATATGCTTACAAAAGAAAAGGTCTGTCAATTGTACACAACACACCAAAAAGAAGCATATGACATATTTTAAAAGTGATGCCAAATGTTTCAACCAGACTTAATGCTGTTTTTTCACACCCATTAAAGAAAAAAATACGGCTATTACATTCGACTACAAATTTTGACTCCTTGTCTTCTTTTTTCCTTTTTAATTTTTAAAGCATATGAAAAAAACAATAAAACAAATTTATATTAAATTTTACATAACATCTTCTGTTTTTTTTACAAAACTTACTGCCAGAAACTGCTAGAAAAACTTACTATTCATAGTTGAGGAATAGTAAAATCAAAATGTAAGCTAATACTGGATTTCACACGACTGTATTGTGTGTAATTTTAGCTGTAAATTGTTGTTGCTTTCAATGCAAATTGAATATTTTTGACAGCTATAATTACAAACAAAACTCCCATGTGACTCCAGTATAAACAAAGTTTTGTGTACACTTCAGTTTATACAGTTGAGGAATAGAACCCTTTTGTGTTTAAAATTATACAAATGCACAAAAGTGGTACCAATTACCAAAAAGCTGGCATCACTAAAGCGCAGCTGACAATTACTAAATGTCTGGCATTGCAAAAAAGTCGCTGTCAGTGATGAATGACATTTGAATAAATTTACAAGCTAAATGAACGCACCTCCGACATTTGAATCGTTTTTATTATATGATGGCGAGAAGAAGTAAAAAATAAAATAAATTTATCAACAATAATAATTGCATTTTATTACAGAATCATACGTGAATTGGACACAAAGGTTCCTAATGCCGCTATATTCACTATAAATAAGGAAGACCACACTTTGGGCAACATGATTCGCAAGTAAGTAATTATCAGTTAATAATAATAAATTTAGTAAAAATAAACACTCGTGCTTTTCGTGCAGTCAATTGTTGAAAGACCCAAATGTTTTGTTTGCTGGTTACAAAGTGCCACATCCTCTGGAACATAAATTTGTACTACGCATACAAACAACATCAGAGTCGTCGCCACAGGAAGCACTGACCAACGCTATTACGGATTTATTGTCTGAACTGTCGTTGTTCGAGGAGCGCTTTAGAGTAAATATAATTAAGAATACATTTTTTATAGTTAAGTTATTTGTAAGTACTATAACAAAATAGTTTCAGGAAGAAGAATGATTGGAATGTTAAGTCAATATTGCTAAATTGCGCCAAAAAATCATAAACGGGGGCTCTCTGTGTGTAGTCGCTTGGTATTAATATAGGCGTTGAATATTTATTGAAACTGAAGTGTCAAATTTAAATTCAGAGAGTTTTAGTTTTTTAATTTTTTGGAGAAAGAACGTTTACAATTTCGTACCGAGAAAAACTAAATAAAGTTTGTTTTCCGTTGTTTAAGATTCGTTTTAGTGTTAGTTAACAGAGAAGTCCTTTTATGACCCCGACGTGATCTTCTAAATTTGAATTTGATTCTTCTATATTAAATAAATTTCTAACGCCTATTTGCATCGCCACGTGTATTATATTTCACTTTACCAGTTGAGAACCTTCACTGCCTTTACTTTAGTCATAGTCTTTTTGCTAATTTAATTTTCAATAGAAAAAACTTGTATAATATTAAGAACTTTCAGAAGTCTTTATGTCTTAACACATTTGAGAATTTCTCTTAGCAATTGTTGCTGAATATTAACATGACTTTAGTTAATTACTTACCATAATTCTGTATTTCTGATTAACATAGAACATAGTTTATATAAAAACATATTTTCTTACAATTTTTAGAAAAACCCTAGTAGTATAAAGTAGTATATACATTGTGGTAAGACGAACCATTATTAAAGTATATTGAGTCTATGAGGCTTTCTTTTTAATATACTTTAATACCAAACTATGTTTACACTACATAATTATGGAGCCTCAGTTTCTCGATAAACTCACTGAATTGAAACATGAGCTTAAAAAAAAACTACTGTGTGCAAGGCATATTACCCTCGTTTATACTCGATCTCTCCGACTCTATAGCAATATCATGGAGTTTGAGCATAATTTAAGGCGATGCATTTATGATATGAAGATAGCAATCAACATGTGAGTTCCACTATAATATCCATAATTATGTTGTTTGAAAAGAAGTAGAAGTTGAATTCGGCATAAAAATGTTCTACGAACAGCATGCTTTGATGGCAAACTGAAATGCTTATGGCTGAGCTTACACATTTAGATATTAAGCCATTGTGTCTTGCAGAACTATGAAGTCTAAACTAAGGCAGCATAGACCGCTTTGTAATTGTCCAACAGATTTTCTTCAATACTACCCAAAGAATACTCTGATAGTGCTTTCAGCACATAACGTTATATATAACATTATATAGTCGAATTAATAATGCAGTGAATAGTCAGTGTATATCCCGACTTCGTGTTTTGAGGTTGTGGGGATACTGTATTAACCAATGGAAATAAGTAAGTCATGACAATGTCTTTAATTATGTTTATACAGCAAAAGTGAAGTTTTTCAAAATAAAAAGAAGTCATAAGGGGCAAAATTCTATATTATTACACAATGTAAGAGATTCTAAAGTTCCACCAAACTTTGTTAATAGGAGCAACTTGAATTTCAGAGACTCTGTAAATTCTGTAAGTGTAGCAGATTATTTCATATTGTATTGCTAGCTATAATTATTTATTGATTTAAAAATAATTATTATAGCATTTAGTTTATTTTTATTTGATATATTTATTACTTAACTAAAAACATCAATACAAATATTTCATAGAACTGGCGCTTATATTATCTATTTTCTTTATATTTAGGAAGCCCTCAAGGAGAAAAAGGAAGGTGGTGATTAAGTGTAAATCATCAACTGACACTGTATGCAGTTTCTATAAAAATAATTTATATATATTTTATAATAAAATTTAATGATTTAACATCAAGAGAAATAAATTTTATTTAATGCCTTTGTAACATATCATATCTGTCACTGAATAACTTCAATGCTTCAAAAAAGACGCGACCATTTTGTCCTGCAATGCATATTAGACAAACTAATATATTTCTCAACTTCACAAATTCACTGAAATTTTGATTGTAAGTAGATGAAATATATACTGTTCACCTACCAATCACTCTAAGATGTCGCTGGATCTGGAACGAACTGTATTTTCTCTAATCATATGCTACAGTACAGTACTAAATATTACAAAATTAAAAAATACTTATAAACCAAATATGTCACATATATCAAGGCAACTTTGACCAGAAATATGTCTTTAAATAACAGACACTCTCTTCCTCTAAATAAGGAGTAGTGTCATTATGTTGATATCCGTTTTTACAGATCATTACGTGATGTATGTGCCCGCGACTAGATCATGTGCCTCTAGTAGTCAGAATAACGACACAATAATACACTAAGTACTGGTTATGGCACTGTCCGTAGCGCTCCAGACCTCTTCAACCATAGGATCAATTCACTAGTCAATCTTAGAGTAATCACTCTCCGCACGGGGAGGTACGCAGATCTTACATCAAGCACTGAATAATCATGAAGCTTATAGGCAATACATAAATTAGTCAATGAGTCGAGACCCTGTAGTACCCCCAGCTATCAAAGAGTAAAAGTGCTCAGTTGCGCTGACTCGAAAAAAGGATCAACATACATACTAGTCAAATGTAGAATTATTGTTTTTAATATAAATTAAAAATTGTGTATGAGAGAAAATTTTCTCTTTCATTTAAAAGTTAGTCATAGTGACGAAACTTTTTTTGTCACGTCACGTTGATCGTAACAGTACCAATCAGTATCAATGTCAGAATTTGTGCCTACTAGGTGCTTACAAATATGTATATATTTGTGTGATTATGCCTTTTTATATAAAACTATTACGTTTGTAATTTAGGCACTAATAAAAAGTATTAAAATAGTGAAAGTACGAAATCGACATTTGTTATATCACTCCCTATATAACATGCCTTTTGGTCATGACTAAAAACGCTATAAAACTGCCGTGATAATCATATGATTGTCTCTTTAACATGACTTTTAGCTGATTTCTACCTTTAAGAATAGACAGTAGATCTTAGGATAAAGGATGAAAGACACGATTTGGCACTTGTTATATTTCTAAAAGGTTGTGTCCTGATGAAAGTTTAATTCCTTTACAAATTTTTACATTAGAGAATAGTCGGAAATCAATAGAAAGTGTTGAGATAAGAGTATTGAAGACACGATTGAACATTTTTATTCAAAAATTCAGCTTTGTCTACACAAATGATCAACTAAGGACCAATCATATGATTGTCTTTTAAGATTTCTAATATAAATCACTAGTAAAAGGACTTAGAATATGTGGAGATGGCGAAGTAAGTGCTCAAACATAACCATATGAGTCCCGATCCCTTTCTAACGAAATCACTACAATAATAAAATATTATTAACAATATTACTATTAAAATATCACATTTATGTTTTATTCTTATGAAAATATATGTATGTATATTACTTTATTGGTTTCATTATTGATTTGAGTCTTGAAATTTTATTCATCAAAAAATAAATAAATAAATGTTATTAAAAATATACTATTTATTCTATTAAAAAATAGTTGAAAAATATTAATATCAAATATTAATATCATAATATTTATTCATTAGAATTAACAATTATAGAATTTAATTTGTCTTATAAATAATTAAATAATCAATTTAAAAATATATTTAAAAATACTAAAATATATTAATAAATATTAAAATTTATTAATAAATTTTAAAATATATTAATAAATATTGTTATATGTCAAAAAAGGTTATAATTTATAAGAGCGCCATCTACTGCAAACTTCAATTGGATTTGTAATATTTTCATTTCATTTGTTTTGTGTATTTAGTTTTCGTTTTTACAAAAATAAAATTGCTAAATTTTTGTAAAATTTGAAATAATTTTCGAATGAAAAGAAGCAAATATACATTCAATTGATTAAATTTTTAATTTTACTATTAAATAGTTCTAATTATGATATTTGCTTTGATTCCGCTTTCGAGTCTCGAATAACAGCTGTTTCGAAACAAGAAAAAAGTTCGCGGTTAAATATTGCACGCCGCGAACAGTTGTTGATGGACACAGACATTCAAAGAAATTAAGGCAGGCAGAACCGCGTTACTATTGGTTAATACGCATTAAATATTTGGTTTTAAATTTTGAATTTTTTTTAAAAAATAATTAAACAAAATGTCGCTGGCATTTCAAAATGCGGATTCTATAAGGCAGGCACTTCTCGAAGAATTGCAAAATTTGCTTACTTCGGACACAGCCGCCCTACAACGTGCTGAAGCTCGTATTAAACAATTGGAATACACCGATGGTGCGTATCACACAAAACAATGAGTAATTGCTTAAAAATTTTATTAATATCTACTTGCATTAGGCTATGGCATATATTTATCTGAATTAATTATGAATCAAGCGCTTGAACTGCCGCTGCGTCAAATCGCTTCAATTATGTTAACGCGATACGTAGAAAATCATTGGAGCGAACCAAGTTTGGACGAAAGTGGCGCTGAGAATACAAATTGCGTTCTGCCTGAACATTCAAAACGCTCTATACGTAATATATTACCGAATGGACTATATGATCCCAATTCCAAAATACGTTCATCTGTGGCGCATACAATATCGACAATTTCCGCTACCGATTGGCCCCAGGTATGGACGGAATTGTTTGATATTATTATTAAATGCTTGGGTGGTACTGAAAACTCTATACATGGTGCCATGCAAATACTAAGGGAGTTTTCATATGATGAAAAGCAAATAAAGGAATTAGGTCCTGTGGTTATATCAGAAGTGTATCGCATTTTTGACTCGGAACAGGTTTATAGCATTAAAACGCGTACATCGGCTATACGCATTCTGAAGTCTGTGTTCTTGTCCATTAGTATTAATATATTAGATAAACAAGAACAGGCATCAATGATGAATTCCATTCTAACCAATTTTATGGACAAACTATTGCATTATCTCTCTATGAACTGCGGAGAAACTTCCAACTTTCTATTGAGAACTGAAATCGTTAAGAGTAAGTAAAGCACTCAGAATCTTTTTTTAATTTTTAAAACTTTAAATTATTTATCCTTCAAATATGCAGTTTTGACTTTTCTGGTAACTGATATGCCAAAATATATTTTGCCTTATATGGATCAATTGCTACCCATAATATGGCAACTATTAACACAAATTGCAAGAGTCTATGTCAAGGTTATAGTCAATCGAACTGAACCGTCTCCTTTCACAACATCTGATAACGAGGAAGATGATGAGCAGGCTAATTTCTCCAATATGATTATACAGATATTCGAATTCATTCAATGCATAATTGGTGCCGGCAGATTTCGTTCAGTCATCAAAAGTGTGCTAACTGATTTGGTCTATATTATTATAGTCTACATACAGGTGAGTAATCTGTAAGCTGAATTCAGGCCTAAAAGTTAATTATTTATTTAAATTTATAAAGGTATCTGCACAACAAATAGAGGACTGGGACGAAGATCCAGAAAAGTTTGTAGAAGATGAAGATGAAACTGGTGTAGAGCTAACTATAAGGTTATCTGGCCAAGATGTACTAGTGGTAAGTTCAATTTGTTTATTATTTTTGTTGTTGTAAATCAAATAGATCTTTTGAAAAAGGTGAACAGTACTTAACAAGTATTAAGTAAATACTATAACTAGTATTTTTACAAGTGTATTATTTTTAACATAGAAATATCGAAAAAGAAAATTTTTTTCCAATATTTTTAGTTTAATTTATAAAATATAATTTAATCACTTTAATGTTCTTACGGGAGATATAAAAATGGTTCTTTGATGCGTCAGTGGCTATATACCAAAACTAGTAATCTTTTAAGATGACTGACAACTTTCAATAGTGTCTCCAAAACGAAGTCTACTTTCACAGCTTTGAGCAGCGGTATAACACCGATATAATATAAATTTCTTTTAACTACTGTTTCAGAAACGGTACTGTATCTGTTCCATATGGGCCCAAATCGAAAAATCTGATTGTACCTACATATGTTCTATGACTGTCACAACATGAAATAAATATTATCTCATCATTGCACCATATTATATTTGAAAATATACCACTAAATAATCTTGATCATAATCTTGATTAGATCTCGAATGTTCTCAACGGATATCATATTGTAGGTGCTATTGTTATTGTACTAGCCCGAATATACTAGAGGTTACTATACACCTATAAGATCTATTATGTTATCCCGGAAGAAAATCTTGCAAGATAAACCCCTAGAACAAATAAAGACTTTTGTGCAATCTAACAGTATCTCTTAATTCCAGATTGCAGAAGACCTCATTCAATTAATGAAAGTAGAGGAATCGGTCGTGAAAGATTCTTAGTTCGTCTATTTTTATAATCGATATATAACAATGTTGTTCCGACCAATTCTAGAAACTTACAAAGTATTTTATATTGCCGTAGGCCCGTAGCCAAAAATTTACTTATGAGGAATGCTTTCAAACAATTTTAGTAACTTAAAAAAATTATATTATTCATATTATATGAATTATGAATATGCATTATATATATATATAAATATATAATTCTCTCCCTGCGTACCTGCAGTATACCTCAATCCACTTTCAAGAATAATAATTTTGAATACAAATTTTGGTCCCTATGGGAGATACAGGAATTAATGATGACCATTACTCCAAAAGTTAGAAAAATGTTTTACTAACCATATAACTAATCTTGATATTTTCTATCAACTTTCTGGCGCCAGTTATACGTTTATCCATATTATTTAATATTGGACTATAACATTATCTGAATTATAATTCTTAGACTCGAAGACACTAATGCAAATAATCTATATATATTGTTCAAAATGCCCATATGTATTTAAACTTATACTTACACGTTTTTATATAATAACCATTTTAACTATTTTATTATCCCACTTCAACAGACACTTAATGACGAACTTAGCGCAAAAGTTTTACCTGCTCTTCAAGAAGCTATTAGACGTCACATGAATGTGGCTGAAGCTGAGAAAGCAGCTGGTAATTCGCATTGGTGGAAAATTCAAGAAGCTTGTATGGTTGCTGTACATACCTTCAATGAAGTTATTTTGGATTCAGGAGATCAATTTGATTTATTGAATTACCTAACATTTGCACGCGAGATGCTTAACTATCATGAATCGGCACATTTGGTAGGACGTGCCCTGTGGACTTTAAGCTCTTACTCGAAGTCGCCCTTATACAATATACAAATGTTGGAAGAGATATTAAATGTAACTTTACAAAGTTTGACTCCAGATAAATCGATTGTATTAAAAATTTGCGCAGTCAGGTGAGTTGCATTCTTATAGCACCAAACATATATATCTTTCAAAAAACAAAAAAAACATTTCTTTTCAGAGCTGTCTATGGTTTCATTTATTCTCACTTGAGAGCCGAAAGTGAAAAACGTGCTTTAATAAAAACGAAATTAATTGGTTGCCTTGATGGTATCCTAGGCATTATTCCTGGTAGCAAAAGCTCTGTATTAGCTTTACTTTTGGAAACGATTACTACGATGATTAATGTAAGTAAAATACTAAATCAATTGCAATATTGAAATTCTCTTATGAAATTCTCTTTAATAATACTTGCAGTTTGATAACGATTTTGCTGCTACGTCTCAAGGCAAATTAGTGCCTCTGATTATTGCAGTATTCATAAAATATCCTGAAGATCCTTTCATTTTGGAAATACTACAGGAAATGATAAAAGCTATATCTCAGAATCCATCATGTCAACAGTCCCTACAAGAAAAGTTCATACCCACTCTTGTTAGCATACTGCAATTAGAAGGTGATCTGGCAAAGGCTGGGAAACAGGATATAGCTTTGGATATATTGACCTCCATTGTCAAGCACTCAGCGGCGCCTTTATCCAATATGTTAATTGAGAACGCCTTTCCTGCTATGATACATTGTGTACTACGCACTGATGATCAATCTGTTATGGTGTCCGGCGGCGAATGCTTACGCGCTTATATATTTCTATCGCCGGAGCAAATTTGCACTTATAAGAACGGTGAAGGTCTTAACTATGTTATGCAACTTACTACAATGTTATTAAATCCGATGAACAATGAAATGACAGCAGGCCAAATAGGTCGCTTGGTTATAACTATTATAACCAAAATGGGTAACATGCTTGGCGAAAATGTAGATCTACTCCTTAAAGCTGTTATCAGTAAAATGCAATTAGTGGAGTGCTTAAAGGTTGTAATGAGCTTAGTTGTTATATTTGCGCATTTATTCCTGACACAAATGGACGCCGTTTTAAATTTTTTGTCCACTGTACCAGGTCCAACCGGCGAGCCAGCTATGCAGTTTGTTTTTAATAATTGGCTGTCTCGACAAGCCTCGTTCTTTGGTGCATATGAACGCAAGGTGAGTAATATTTCACATACAAAACCTCATCTGTTTTGTTATTGTCGTTGTTATCTGATTAGGTCACCACAATGGCGATGTGTAAACTATTTGAATATGGTTTAACTACACAAGATAATCGATTAACTTCAATCACCATCAAGGAACGAATACATGTTGATAATCTTAATACAACACCACGTGTAAAAACACGTTCACAGGCTGCTAGCTCGCAGCAATGGGTTACTATACCTGCTTTAGTGAAGATGTTTAAATTGCTTATCAATGAGTTGGCTCATCTTAGAGAGGTCAAATTGGCTTGTCTGGAAACTGATTCTGAAGATGAAGACGATCCACCAAGTGGTGAAAAACAATTAATTTCACCACCCAAAGGTCGCTTTATTTCCGACTTGTATTTTAATGATGATGACGATGAAGATGTCGATGACGACTTACTCACACAAGAACTTTCAAAAAATCCACTATTCCAAGCAAATATGGAGGAATATCTTGCGGGTTTCCTACAGAATTTCTCTAGTAGTGAGCATTTTAACATGTTTGTACCACATTTAAATGAGCAAGAGAAAAGTATATTAAGATCCATCCAAGTTAATGTTGAATAAAATTACCTAAAAAAATTCATTTCTTATGTATATTCATCTGTTAAACTATTTTTAATAAAAAAATCATTTGTCATATTTTCGAAGAATATTGTAAAATCTTGTTTAAAATTCTGCCGAGAAACAAAACTTGCCTAATATGATGAACGAGGTAACTCTTGTGATCTACCCAAGCTTTCACTGTTAACCTTAAATTGTTGAAAAATAATTACAAATACGAATACGTGGAATAGAATATTGTTGGGTAAAGGAAGTGTGAAATAGGGGGAGGGGGATTGTTTGGTGTTTAGATTAGGACATCAAAACAAATGGAAACAATACGGGGGTAGAGTAGAGCTGCAGTTTCGGGCACACGCATTTTGTGCGTGTGAAAAAACTGTATAGCACATGGCTATATCGTGACCTTAATTGGGTTGCGACAATTCTTGCTGTACAGGGAAGGCGTAGCTCTTCCTGAGAAATATTAGGCGGAGGCCTCTTGAGAATTTTTTTGACCTATACAACCGTGGTCTCGAAGAGGAAAATACATCTGTAAAAGGCTGTAAGTTTTCGTTTGTATTTGATAATGGCTTCATCCATTGGTGTCTTACGTCATTCCAGAAAGAAAATATACCAGTTAACCTTATATATTTAAGTTTAATTGCCAGTTTAGCCGTTGGAAGAGACATACTAGTATTCGAAAGGTATAAATCAAAGAACAGCGTGCCTGCTTTAGCGAGTTCGTCTGCTTTAGAGTATCTCTATTTCTAGGAACCCAAATGAGTTGAACGCCAAGAAATCTAATCAACTCGTTAACAAAAGTTCGATTTTTTCGATATACAATAGAAACTTAGGTGTAATACCTACCAGAGATTTAATTGCAGCTTGGTTGTCTGGTAAAATTATGATGGTTCCAAAAACGGGCAACGAAAAAGATGTAGAGGTGAGTGATCAAGTTAATGGAGCACTAATCGGACTTGATGTATGAGACTGAAGAAGGCACGCGGCCTGCTGCGTAAGGCCGGTAGCTCGGTTATGCAGGTTGTGCAAAAACAGCCGGAGCTATGTGCCGGAACTACTCGTCGAACATGACGACTAAGTACCGTTCTTCAACTCCCAAAGGAATTTTATAAGCAAAACCCTGCGTGCTACAACATAAAATTGCGATATTCTGACTTAACCCTGTATATAGAGACATAATTATATTTTTTAACAATGTATGTACTAATTAGAACTTAAGGAAATATTGTTTAAATTTTTTATTCAAAATCATAAAATATTCATTATTGGATAAAGTAAGGAACACAATATATTTAATTTGTTACCAAAATATAAAAAGGCAAAATAATTTATTCAAGTGTCTTTTAGTAAACATTTCAATATTGGTGGAATGAACGGTAATCATTCGACTGATTATTGTATTTAATTTGATTTGTATATATGTAATTGTAAAAAAAAAATTGTTTATATATATGTATTTATTGAAACCACATCACACTAAACCGATATATTCTTGTTATAAATTCTTAAATGTTAAATGCAATTTTTTATAATTGCTTTACAACTCCAGTAGAGCATTAGCAGCATTAACCACATGTCCAGCTGATATACCAAACATCTCAATAAGAGCAGTTGCAGGACCAGAGCGAGGCACACTTGGTACATATAAGTGTTTTACTACAAAGTTGCGTTGTTCGGCAAGTGCGCTAAGCACAGCTTCACCAAGTCCACCTTGTCTGTAAATTAAAATAATTTTTTAATTTTTAAAAAAAAAATTCAATTTAATGTGTGTTAATTTACGTACTGATAATGATCTTCAACGACAACAACACGTCCGCCACATGCGGTTCCGTGTTCAATTATTAAACAAGCATCCAAAGGCTTAACGGTGAAAGGATCAATAACGCGTGCGTTTATACCACACTTTTCCAATTCAGCTGCGGCATTCAAGCATTCATACAAAGTAATACCAGCGCCAATAAGCAAAACTTGATCCTTCTTTGATTGTTTTACCACTTTGCCTTTGCCAATGACGAACGGTTCATCATTCTTATATAAAACGGCAGTATTGGGGCGTGATGTACGTATAAAGCAAATTCCTTCTTTATTAGCAGCTAATTCAACAGCACGCTCGCAACTTACAGCATCGGAAGGATAGAATACAGTACTGCCGGGAATGGTACGGAACATAGCAATATCTTCCAAACCCATTTGTGAAGGACCATCTTCACCAATACTAACACCGCAATGAGAGCCAACGAAATTGACATTTGTTTGAGAGATAGCACCCATACGTATTTGATCAAAAGCGCGTGTAAAGAATGTGGCAAAAGTTGAAGCAAAAGCAATGGTACGATCGCGACAAGCAGCACCGATAGCTACGCCAACCAAGTTTTGCTCAGCAATGAAACATTCAACGTAACGGTCAGGATAATCCTTCTTTATCTTTTCGGAATAAGTAGAGTTTTTGGTATCACCATCGAGTGCGATTACGCGGCAGTTATTTTCGGCTATCTTTGCGAGTGCTGTTCCGTAAGCCAAACGTGTGGCAACTTCTTGACCCAATTTATAGTTTGGTGGTGATGACAATTTAACATTTGTAATATCAACTTGTGGTACTTGTTTTAGTTTAGTGGGTGTTTTAGGTCCAATAGTAGGAGACGCACAAGCGTCAACCATTAAACCTTCCAAGTGTTTGATAACTTCGTTTGCTTTATCTCCTAAAGGCTTACCATGCCAATTGTCCTTATCTTCAATATTGGGAAAGAATTTGCCTTTATATGTCTTGGCGATAATGGCAGTGGGCTTATTTTTAGTATTTGCAGCTTCATAAAAAGCTTTGCACAACTCCTCAACATCATGTCCATCAACGACAAGTGGATTAAACCCAAAAGCATCCAAACGCTTGCAGTAAACATCCATTTGATGTTGCAAAGAGGTAGGCTCAGATTGACCTAAACGATTGACATCAAAGATAACGCATAAATTGTCGAGTTTATAATGGCCAGCAAAATGCAATGACTCCCAAATTGAACCCTCAGCTGATTCACCATCACCAACAACAACATAAGTTCTAGAGTACAAAAAAAAAATTGGTGAGATAAATTAAATATAACATATCGTAAAAATTTTCCAATATATTTACCTATAATCGGCTTTATCAAAATTCTTTCCAACATATGCCATACCAGCAGCAACAGCTACACCTTGACCTAAAGAACCAGTACCAACATCGATGAAATTCAAGCGTGGTGTTGGGTGTCCCTCCAAATCGCTATCAATTTTACGCAAATTTTGCAGTTCTTCAACTGGGAAGAGTCCAGCTTCAGCCCAGGCTGCATATAAAATTGGTGCTGCATGACCCTTAGAAAGTACAAAACGATCACTTGAAGGATCGCGAGGACATTTCATATTAAGACGCAATGTGTTGAAAAACAACACTGACATTATTTCGGCGATCGAAGAACATGACGTCGGATGTCTAAAATCATATAGAATATTTATTTTTTTTTTTTAATATATTTAATTATTTATTCAGTTAAATGAGAATTAACTATATTATTTATTTGTTTTTGTATTTATCAATGAAAATAATTGAAAATACTGGAAAGTGCCTCACTGCCCTCGACCTACAATCTGAATTCTACGCAATCTACACCGAATTACGATATCAAAAGCACAAATAAAAGTGAACGTACAATCCATTTCGATTTAATTTATGTCTTATTTGCGATTACGTAGCCACCAACGGTCGGGGGGCTCGCCAAAATGACGCAATACTCGCATGCTTGGCATTGAAAACCGCTACATTGGCGACTTATTCAAGAAAATATATTTAAGTAGCGAGAAGAGGGGCCAACATTTTTATTATTTCTTTTTCAGCCAATAGGGCCATTGACTTCGTTCAAAAATAAATTATTATCAAAAATAAAATTTCTAAAAGTTATATATTAATTTTTTTTTGCACACATTTCAGTTTATGTAAGCTTTTAATATTACTACTTAATTATTTATTCATTAATTATTGATTTAAATTATAAATTATTCATTTATATTATAAAAACATGAAAAAGTAACCGAACTTTTTTTTTATAATATGTATTATTGGCGATATTTATGAATATGTAAAAGTATATTGTATATATAAACGCGTATATAAGAGGTTGGAAAACTAAACTTAAATATAATTTTAATATTTATATAAATACGAGCCTAGTTGAGCACTGATCGCATACGTGAGTGAAACGAAGGGGTTTTCCTCGTTATTGTTGCGGTAGCCCACGGAAATCTATCGAGTAGATAGCCTGTGAGAAATTAGGAGATGGTAGTGTGAAAGGAGAAGTAAGAATAGACTGTAGGTCGGTGGAAAGTGAATCTTAGCCAAAGCTGAGAAAGAATTTTTTGCAATTGATATTAATTTAATTAATTAGATCAATTAATCTATTTTAGACACAAAGAAAAATTCAAATCTCTTCTTTTTATTTTTGTTTTATTGCTTAATCACATACTAGTATAAAAATAATAGTCGTCGCCCAATTTCTTTGTTGTCCCATACTACCTGCGCTACACCCATGCTTTCTGGCTTAAATAAATCTAGTTCGCTAAGTATTAAGCCTCTTTCTTGCTCATATCTCTAACCCCTGATTATTGAAATGAAGTTTCTGCATTGGTGTGGAAATCTTCTCAATTCATTCCTAAAAGGTAGTTTAAGTGGGTACACTGTGTCTTTCGATGCTTACCTACTCTTACCTCAAACACTACTGATCTACATCCCAACCCATACATTCGTTTTGTAATCTGTTTTCCACATACCGGAAACAAAAAAATTGATTTGTTGCAATGGAAAATTCTGTCCAATTTTTGAACTCTAAGTCGGAACTCTAAACAGAACAGATATTGCTCAGACAGTGACAGTAGTCTGTGGTTTACGATGGTAATATAGTTTATAATTAACTGATATTTTTAGTAATGAGTAACAATACATATTATAAAGATTAAGAGCAATGCTTGCGTTAAACATTTTCAGACCGTGTATATTCGTGCAAATTTGAAAGCGGGTTGGGAAATTGTCACTACATTACTGCATCCTTTGAGGATTATTGTGACATACCCACTTTAGTTCCATAGACGAGTAGCAGTTAAGAACGCCATTATGTCCTTTGGACAGATGTTGCCTAATTCCGTTATAAGTGGATAGGCAGTGGTTAAGTACCTGAGTCTGGCGAGACTATCACAATGACACAAAATGTGTTCTGCTGCTTCTACTTCTTCGCAACAAAGTCTGCAGCTATGGTCTATAGTGATACCTAGGTTCAGTACTAGTGAGAAACCCTGTGATAAGTCGGATGCCACTTCTGTTCAACATAAGTAGCTCCCTAGTTCTGGCTTTTGATCGATACGGCATGGATTTCTAAGCTTGTCCATGTATAGTAAGAATTTTATGCGATTAATCACCGGCTATAAATATCTATAAAACTATCGACATCTTGAGAAATAGAATAAAAAGGTACTTTATGAAGAGGCTATTATATATACAATACCGAAGATATTATCAAATATGCGATAGATACGTTAGATATACGTTATTCTAAATAAAATGAGACTATAAATGCAATAAATTCTAAAAATTCTTATTAATATTCATATTACTACAGTAAGTTAGAAACTTTCTGTGCTGTGTAATGACTATTTATTAAGCTAACAATATTATAATTTAATTATTATAAAAGGTCAACGTAACCTTATATGTATAATAAGGTTAATTGGACTCTTACAAAATGGTATTCATACCTATGAGAACATTTTCAATATACATACTATAATTGAATTACATACAGAATTAGTAAATGATGTATTTCTTTTAATTAATTTGTTATCAAATTGATATGTATATGTGTATAAATTAAAGTGAAAAAATTGTTTATTTACAATTGAATTTTTATTGCCTGTCTATAATCTTTTTATCGCATATTCATATCTGCACTTAAGTGCAATATCTTGTTTTTATTATAAATATTATTAAGCCCTGTACACCATCATAAAAGTGACATTATATATAACTCTGATGCATTAATTGAATTAGAAATATTCACCCGAATAATAGAACTTTTGATGAAATTGATATGTAGAAGTTCTGTATGTAGATATTTATGTAAATATTTATACAATATTTATTTATCTGCGATTGCAGTATTAAGTGCTATAGAATATAAATGATACCATTCCCCTACATATGTACATACGTTCCTGGTTGTGACTATAATACTAACAGCTATAAAATTTAACTGTGGTCCACATAATTATTAAATTCAGTATATAAGAAGCTTACAGATATCTACTGAATTTTAATATACATATATATATTATAAAATAATTTATTTAGGTGTTAAATAAATTAGATATTTTTACTCGGTGTAACAAAAAACGTTTGTTTCCTGTTTTAATGTATATATTGTGACACATTCTTTTTGACTATATCTCCTCCAGTTTATAACATATGATAATACCAAAATGTTTCATTGCAAAATTACTGCCTTCAGTCAAATTATGTTGTCGGCAATTAAGGTGCACCTATCATCCTGTAATTCATTCTAGGCATTCAAAAAATTAACGATTTTCTACTTAAGCAAATAACGAATATTTTTGGTGCAATTGAGTTACAGATGGTTTTAGTGCTTTTGCCATTTGACCTACACTGTTTTTTGGTAATGACGCGTTCCAGATCTTTACATTATTAAGCCAATCTGATATTATAACAGATTATAATTTGTGCTCAAATAACTTTTGGTACAAACGTTTATTTCTCCAATCTAACCTAATCTTGCATGCAACAATAGCATAACAATATTATAAAATATTTTCTATAATATAGTTCTATAATAGAGCTGAAGGCATAATTCCCCATGAACTGCGCCTCTGCTTTTGGCAGCTCTAGAACATTGTATCCATTGGTTCTTACTCTCCTTCATCTTCACATTTCTCACAATATTTATTAATGAGGTCTCTCAGCCTTAGTGTGTACCTATGTTATAGCCAGTGTCGGTTGTACAAGCCAAGAGTCTAAAGGAAGAAAGTCTTAGCGTAAGCATGTAAACTATGTTAAAGCCAGTGCCGGTTGCAGAACTCACAACTTTACAATGAGATTCCTACAATATTTATTAAAGAGAATTGAGTATATCTATAGCCAGTGAGCGGATGTGCAAATCACGACCTTAGACAAGACCTCTATTATTATTATGTTGAGGCTAGTTGAGTCAGTGCACTTGAGCACTTTTACTCTCTATTAACTGCGAGGTTTCTTCAAAACCCCTCTCTACGACTTGACTCGATTATTGTTTATCACTTCATCAGACTAAGCAATAACTGATCTCAGATCTACATACCTCTCTAAGGAGCCTGTAACCATTCAGATATTCGATAACGCAGTGTTGGTAAGCCTGTCTGTTGGTAAACCAAGAAAATTTCTTAACTTTTTTCTAGACGCAATCACATTAATCTAGACGTATGGCAAGTATCTTCGTTGGATACAAATGAATTGATCTGGCAATTTACTGTTCTTAATAAAAATTTATAAAAAGTCAGGGAACAACAACAAATCATACAATAAAAAAAATCTTGAACCCATTTTTCTATGTTTTTTATTGTGTTGCGTCACTGTCCTTCTATACTGAAATTCACTATACTCCGTTTTATATCAGAAGATTTTCACATAACACTTATATAATAAATTGAACCTAATGACTTTGAAAGCTCCAAATGCAATAAAAAAAACTGATTACTTTTGCAGTTTTTTTTTATTGTGAATCAACGTCACTAACAAAGCATAACGCATTGGAAATAACAACAAAAACAAATAAAAATCGAATGACTTTATCGGTAGCGGTTTTTGGTTGCTTGCCCTTTTAATCGAAAATGCAATTGACAACCAAAAGCAACAACAAAAACATATACGCGCATAAATAAAAAAAGAGTACAACAACACAACAACAAAATGTAACAAACAAAAAACAAAAAAAAAACTGCGGCAAGGAAAAAGATTACAAGTGTTAAAGCGAGAATGAATGAAGGTCAAAAAAGGTCGTAAAAAACTAAAAAAAAAATAATTAATAAGCCGCAGCATTTAATTATTCTTATCAAAAGAACAAATTACAAATTAGGTGCGGTTTGTATTAGCAAATTTTTGTTTATAATTAAATATCGATGTTCTTCACAAACATCGCCGTTCACACTGTTGCGGCAAAAAACACGTGGCTTAAGAAGAACCGTGCAAAATATGTTCCCCGCTCGGCAGGGGATCTCAATAAATACACAACAAAATAAACGCAATAATAATATAAAAATAAGCCTCATATTTCACTCGTCACGCTTTTAATTATATTTGTAATTTAATTTATATTTATTATTTTGCACTTACCCAGATTTCGAGGCTTGCGTGGAGGTTATGGAATGTATGCGTAGACGATGCGCAATATCCTTCAATTCCTGCACGGCTTTAGCTTCTGGCTTGTGATAAGACATGTTTTGTTGTTGTTGTAAAAACAAATTATAAATTCGATCAGAAATTATAAGTGGATCCGTGAAATTCAAATGATTCCAATCTATGCACTGTTTTTGCTGTGTCTCTACGTTCTGCGTCTCCCTCACCACAACGTTCACAAGCGACCGGCGTACAAAAGCAAACTGACTGCTTGGCTTTATTTGGTCTTTGGCTGAGTAAGCGGTTTCGTAAAGTCGCAGAGCTTTTTTCCAATAGCTACACCTTACGGCCAGCATATTAGGTTCTGTGGTTTCTTTTATAATTATATTGAATATTTTAATAGTTAATTTATTATATTAATAAAATAAATTTCAAAAAATTTCTTGCAAATATAATGAAATGTGGGCAAGATATGGTATTCCTCTCCTTTGGGGGCCATATCACATAAGTTCCATAATCAATAATAAATAAATACAAAATATAGTAACGTATAAAAATAAACAAAATAATTTTGTATAAAAAGAATTAATTAAATATATTGAAAATTTTAATGTAATTTTACAATAAATTATTTGTTGCTTTGTTATAATATTTTTATATACAATGAAGAGCATTAATAACAATGAATAACAATAATTATAATATAGTCAAATATTATAATAAATTCGAAATCGCAAGGGAACAGCATTATTTACGAATTAACGAGGTGTTTTCAAGGGACCAGCAATTTATTACGAATTATTAAATTATTAATTCTAATTTAATTTGCGATTAAATAAAATATTCTATTACTTAAATTAAAAATTACTTTTTTTATATTAATATTAAATATTTATTAAAATTTGTAATTCTAATCTAATTTGCGATTAAATAAAATCTGTTTTTTTTTTAAATTAAAGATTTATTTTTAAATACTAAGAGTTATAAAACACACGTAAAATTGTGTTTTAAATATGATAATATCAATTATAACATACATTAATGTTTTTTAACAATTCTAGCAACAATATAGTTAAATTTTAATTATTTTTTTATTTTTATTATATTTTTATTTTAATTTAGAATAACAGAGTATAGTTAATAACACAGCTATCAATTTTATGAAAAAAACAATCTTATTTAATAATTATTAAATGCGTATATATGTTTATATATGTATGTATAGTAAACAAAAATTGACAGTGGAGATTTTTCAATGAAATAAAATTTAAGAAAAATTATTACGAATATGAAGGTATTCTATTGATAAATTTTATTGATAAAAATGAGCTCAGTTAAAAACATACATTTCACAATTTGTTAATATCAGATTGAAAAACAAACCTTTGTTGAAGGTTTATTTCAATTTACATAAATAATTACGCTTCGAAGTAAATTATTTAATTTATTGTTAATATTGTTATAGTTAAAATCAAGTTGAAAACAGAGACGAGTTCTACTACTTAAAGTTCACAGAACTATCAAAAAATTGTATACAGATGATACGAGTATCTAAAATTTCTATAGTGTATAAGAAATACAGAAAACAATAATGCATACAAATTAAAAAAATTAATCAGTTATAAAAAATAAAGCCTTCACACTACTTTCAACAAGAGACGTTCATTCAAATCCAGTACTAAGTAGACTCGAATCAAATCTTAACTTATTTGTGTCTGATAGATATGTGGGACTTCAAAACGATCTGTTATATATAACATATAACTAACTTCTAACTTCTATAACTAACTAACTTCATTAATATATATAAATATGCATCACAAAGTAATAAATTAATGAAGAAATGTCTTTACCAACATAAGAGAGTGCTTGAAGTCACGTAAAACGTATATTTTGAAGTTCAAAGTATAAATAAATTCCTTTATTAGTGTTGGGATGGGTATACATAGCGAATGTTTTTCAACCTGACAAGTTCGGTAAAAGTGTTTACTGGATTCGCTGATTTAGATTGCGTGGAGTAATTACCTATGAGTAAATTGACGAACACTGCTCTTTATTAAACTTAATAAACACTCAGTTTGGAAAATTTTTTTATTATTGACTCACCTAATTTTTTCAGAAAGATTTTGAAAAGACTTATTTAATGGTTTATTAGTTAATTTCTTAATTCAGTTGGTAAGTAAAAAAATTTCAGACGAATCGAAAGTAATAAAGTTTAGTTTTATTTAAATCTGTACTGTTTGTAAAATATCAATTACACTATATATATAAACTATATATTTTACGTATTATTATCATTAATTTATTTTAGTTAATTTACTTATTTAATAGAACTCATCAAATCAATTAAAATGTGCCATTAATTTCATTTCATTGCGAAATAATGAATATATAGAGAAAATAGAAAGCAATTAACAATTTTTCAAAATTACTCATAAAATTTATTTTTATCTCAATGCATATCCATTCTCTGCACACGTTTTAATATTTCAGGTATTTTAATAAGCCACCCAAATAAATGTAGCGCTAATGTGCTTGTTTTTAAAAGCTCATATAGGTGAGACAAAACATCAAGAAGCTTCTATTTTCCAATGCAAAATCTACGCAGCACGTGCAGGTTAAATCTTTAAATTACAGTAAACGCCAGCTAAACTTATATTCAAAATATATCTCATATATATCTGAAATGAAATATAAAATAAATAAAATATATTAATTAACAGAGTTGGAAGAAAGTTTTTCATACAATTATACTGCAATGAAAAAAATTTATTATTTTTATTAAATAGAGAAATTTCGAAATATAGTAAACTACAAATTATTTATTTATCATTATTAAAATTAAATATATATTATAAGGAATTAATAATTACATATATATTTATTATTAGGAGAAACCAGTTGTTTATTCCTATAAGTATTATAAATGAATACATCAGTGTAATAAATAAATAAAATAAAAAACAATCTTTTTTAAATGACGTCAGATGGCTTGAGAATCTATAGAGTCTACATCTGGTACTCATTCGTCAAGAACGATTAAATTTCGTTGTCGCCCCCATTGGTTTTCTACACTTCACGAATTATAGATTTCTTCAAGTTTGATAGTTTCCCAATTAAAACTGATATAAAATTTTATTTATTTTAAATTAAAATATAATTTGTTCAATTGACAAATAATCTACATTTATCTAAGAACCGTTTTTAAATAATGAAATTCCTGAATATGAAACATTTCCAAGTTACTTTCAAAAGAATTATTATAAAGCGATTTTTCGAACACGTCATTTAACACTACGCTATATGTCAATATAGTTTAGTTTTAAAGATATCGGGCTTTGAATTTGGATCTTCTACATGTAAAATTCTAGCAAGTAGTTGCGCCATCTGGCGTATCAATTTGTTGTTCTTCTGGTTCTTTTTGTAATTAATGTAAAAATTGCGTATTGTTAGAATAAAATATGCAAAGGGTTTACAATTTTAAACCTGAATATCTATCTGAAGAAATAGGTATATTGGCTTATAGCATACAAAAAAATAAATTGCTCGAAATAACTGCATTTTCTAAAATCTGGGGCCAAAATAGTGTGCCTAGAAAATGTGAAATATATTTTCTATTCTAACAAATAAAACACAAAGTATATATTTTTTTATTTTATTTTTATAAATAATTTTTTTATTGATTATAGCTTTATAGTTCTATTTGTTTTAAAAATAAAATTGTTTTGGCAAAAGTTCGTTTGTGTAAAATTAAAAAAAAAATTATATATTTAAGTAAATGTCACAAATATTATTTCAGTGATAAATCGTGAAAGATACATTTATGAGTATTAACAAAGAAAACTTCACATATTTGGGTCACTTAGCAATATCATCAGTAAATGATGAAATTAAGTCACCGTCGGACTGTAACAATACGACAGAGATTTTTTATATTAAATCAAAAACAATTACATCTTTAATGTATTATAATTTACATTATTATATATAAATATAATTATATATAGAATATAAGTTTAAAAAAATTAATTTTTACATAAGTAAAATGCGTGAACTAATATAAAAATTAATAAAAAAATAATAAATAACTCATAAAAAAATAACAAATAAATCATAAAAAAGTAATAAATTAATTAATTAAAAGAAGAAAATTAATATTCTTTAAGATGTTTTTAAATATAATTTATAACGTAAACATATATTTTACTTTTAATATTATATTATTTATGTTGTACTTAATTAAAATTAAACAAAACGAACTTTTGCACAATACCATGACTTCAATGATTTTTTAATTAATCTATTATATAATAATTTTGTGATTTTCAATTAGTAAATTAAATTAAAAATTTTTTAAATAATTTAGTTTTAGTTTAAAAATATAATTTTGCATACATTTTTCTTAAGCAATAACAACAAATTAAAATTTATAATTATTAAATTTAAAATTATAAATATTTTGAAATTTTTACAAACGATTTTGCTATTAAAAATAATTTGTTAAATTTTATTTCTTAATATAACTTTAAAATCTACTTCATTATTTATAGTTTATATGCAATATTTTTCGTTTTTTTTTTTAACATATATTTATTTATATTAAAATTATTAAATATGTATTTCAAATGTGAAAATTCAATTTTTTATAAACTTTTATTATTTTTTAATTTTTTGATTTAGTTTTTGTTGTTTTATGTAAAAAAATAAATATGCAATTTTTAATTATCTAGTGTTTTTTTTATATATAAGGCAAAATAAATTTGGCTTTTGTAATGAACAAAAAACTAAACATTAAAATTAATTTTAATTAAAATAAATAAAAAAATTTTTAAAATATTTATATTATCAATTTATTAAAAATATTCAATAATTTTTTAATTAGTTTTTAAATTATATCAGAACTATACAAAAACTTCAGGATCTGTAATTCTATAATTATGGATGATTATTCTTGTAGCATAAGCACCATTATATCCTTGTAATATATAAGCATGATATATATATAATTTATTAATTTTGAACCAAATAGATGAAATACAAAAAGCAAAATTTTTTTAGATATACTTTTGGTAAACACTATTCTTTTAAAATAAAAGTATGAATACTGAAAAATTTATATTACAAAAATTGAGAAAATATTACTTCAACAAATAATAGAGCATTAAAAAATAAAATAAAAAGAATTTTTTTACAATTTATAAGCCAACTTTATGTTATATTCTTCTAGTTAAAATTATAATAATTTAAGAATTATATTAAAGTTTTAAAATAATGAAAAAATGTCTGGTAAAAAAATTAATAGAACAATTGAGGTCGATATCAATATTTATAACAATTTATAATTGTTTAATTTTAAGTTATTAATAATCTTAAAGTCTGAAAAAGTATTTATCTATTATAGCTATATCGTAAATATTGAAGCAAAAAAAATTAATATTTTACAAAAAAATAAAATAGTTGAAAAAAAAAAATAAGTAAAAATAAATAACAAAAACAAAACAAAAAAATTAAGTAGTTAAAAAAAAAGAAAAATAAGTAAAAATAAATAACAAAAACAAAACTTTGGATAATTTTAATAGTTTTAAATTAAAAGTAACTAGAAAAAATTATTCAGTCAAGGAGTTACTGCAATGAAAAATATGTGAAATAGGTATTAAAAAAATAAATAATAATTAAATAGAATAAAAATATGTATTAATTCAGATGTCAGTCTAAAAACAAAGTGATTTATTATAAAATGTTTATTTATTTATACTGATTAAGGCCCGTGTCAACAACTTAATAATTCAGTTATTAAAATAACCTGCTCAAAGAAAGAATAACAAAATGCTTCAAAATATTGACTATATAAATTTAATTATTTTATATTGAAAAATTATAACATAATTTTAATTATATTATTTTGAATTTAATTATTATAATATCAATTATATAAATTAATTATATAATTAATTAATTAATTATATAAAATATTTATTGCAGTGTAGTTTGGTGTTAATGTCATTCTATGCTTTAAAAAAAGAAACTTAAAATACATTCAAGTATATTTTTCCAGCAACTTAGTGTTTATATTTAAAATAATTATTTTAATTAATTTCATATAAAACAGTTAGTTAAAATGTCTTAATTGGGAAAATAAAATCAATTGAACTTTACACAATTACAGTTACATATTACTTCTATCATTTTGTATACAAATAATTTATAAAAGCCTACAAATAAATGCGCTATGCTAGTCTATTTGTTGTTTTTATTTAAACTATGACTTAATGTTATAAACAAATTTAAATGAAATATTTTTTACATGTTTAAAGAAGAAGAATAGATAGAAAAAGTGGCTTATATACTTATTTACAGTAGAAATAAAATACTTAAGCTGTTGATAAATATCTAACGCTATCACTGAATTTATTATTTAATAAATATTTAAATAAAAGCTACTTAATTTATATGAGTTAAATATCAATGAATTTGACTGTTGAATTCGTAAAATATTAATAAACATTATATAAATAAATTATAATCAATAAATAAAATATAAAACAGAATATTTAATAAAATAAAATTGTTTAATTAATTTACTTTTTTAAATATAACAACGTGATTAATAACGAAATAATACATGCAAATCTGTGTTATATACTTATAATCTAGAATAGATTTAAATTTATAAACAACATAAAAAAATATCATATAATGTGCATCTAAGCAAATCTCACAATTCCATAAACTCGTCACACATTCAGTAATAAGACTTTGTTTTATATAATTTTTTTTTTTAATATGCAATTTGCGTTCTCTGTTGTGCTTTAGTTTGAGTAATGTTTTGCTAACATTAGTAGTACTTCACAGAACTTTTTATTTACTGTCTACATACTTAATCTAAAGCAATCCCTTGAATCCAAGCGCTCAAATCGCTGCCATCAGATTCCAATGTTATTTCATTGGGTTCATCACTTTGTAAGAGATATTGAGCAGCGGTACGACCACTCAAGTAGGCACCATGTACTGTTGAATAAAAACTGGAATGAGTATGCTCACCAGCGAACACTACAACAGGCTATGATAACACAATAAAAAACAATTAAAATATTTTTTTTTATATTAATAATATATTTTTTTTTACTTTTGTAGCATGTGGACTCGCGTAAAGTGGTTGTGCTAAGTTGTCAATATCCTCTTGTGTAGCACCAACTGGTATGGATGTATACGATCCACTAGTAAACGGCTGACTATGCCAACTTGTACTGAAAATACATATAAAGAGTTTAAAAAAGGTATTTATTATAAAACAAAAATTTGAAAAAGAATTGTTGATAGTCCAAAAGAAAATCCTAAACATAATTAAACTTAAGAATGGTTACGAATCCTTTTTAGCGTCTAACAAGACACAACCTTCGAAATATCTTAACAGTGATATATCGCATTTGCGATACGTTTTCTATTAAAGTTGATAATATTTTTCTGAGAAAAGTTGTCGGAAAAATTATACAAAATCGATTGCTATCGCATTTCTTTCGAATTTCCGAGGCATTTATTTTTTTAAAGGATACTTTGCATGAGGAAATATTTTAAATGTACATATCAGTGAAATATATAAGTCTGTGTTTATATAATTAAATATGAGAACTAATTGTCAATATCATGGCATTAAAATTTGCTGGATATAAGTATTTTACTAGTATACTTGATTCCAGTATTCTGTTATTGAATAAAAAAGAGGTTTTTTTACCGACGAGTAGCAAAGTACAACAACAAAAATTCATTTTATATTATTTTAATTACTTGAAGTTTTGGCTGACCATACAGCTGTTTCGAGTATTGCCAAATACCTTCATTAGTGGTCTTGGAAATAATTATTTTATTTAATTATTCATAAATAATTTTTTGAGACTGCAAGTATCAGGAATCGAGCTCGTATCCTGCTAAATTTGAAGCTCAGAGTTAGCGCCATCTAACCAACTGACCCAAAATCGTACTTTACATTTATATTCGCTTATTTTTCCGGAGTTTTGTTAATTTGCTATGAAAGTTTTATTAACAATTTCACTTGCTGTGTTTATATTAGAACCAAATCATAAACCAGGTGTAGAATAATTGAACTAATTAATTATATTTTTATTTTTGTTAAATTTCAATACTATTCTGTTTGTAGAAGTATTTTTTTCATGATTTATATATTCTTCCTTATGTATAGAACCTAATCTATGAACGTAATACTGAGAAAGTCATGCTAATGTTCATCGACGAGTCGAACGGGGAAATTCTGATTTTTAATCTATAGACTTACCAAACACAACGTTTTGGTTTGGGCACATATGGATCCTTTAAAAATGTTCTTAATATTTCTGTACACTTTTCAGCAACCACTTCATGCGATAAAGTTTCCATAAATTCCGCTTCACGTCCAGATACCCAACCCAAAAGCAATGTATCTGACATCTTTGCAAATGAGTATATTTTCTTAAACCAATTTTTGCTAAGATATTCAACTGATGTACGCTGCATATCGGTGGTACTTGATTCATAATCATCCTCATCGTCCCAGAGTAACATTATTTCAGAAATATCTGCACTCAGAAATGGTCGTTCATATTCTAAAAATATTTTATCTACTGTGCCAAACATTAAGTTTTCTATAGCTTCACGTTTATAGTGCGGTAGTTCTGGATCGAATAACGTTTTATGTGTACATTTGAGCACACCCAAAGGTATTGTGCATATCACATGTTCAGCATAATATGTACGCCCGTCTACACAATCTATGCGAACAGGGCTATCATTTGTATCACTAGACCAATCACAGCCGCTATCAGATTCAATTGAACCACCACGAATACCTGCTGCAGCAGCACCAGCTGTAGGATATTCAGTTACAGTTTTTTCCGAATCATCAGAATCCTCATTTTCAGAATTTTCATTGAGCGTATCTAAACCGGTAAGAGTCTTTTTTCGTTTCCAGTGTATTTTTTTAACTGGACATTTCATAACTATAGCATCTTTAGGTATTTGTGCTGAAAGTGGTTTTAAAATTGAACTATATCCAGCAGGCAGTACAATATTACCGCCTTGTAATTCCGTGTAACTACCTGTAATGTATATATTTAAGTTATTTATTTGAAAATGAATGCTCTATGTATTATAACTCACCTAGTTCTAATAGATCTACTTCGTTCATATTACTACAGCCAGTAATGCATGTTTCACGTTTAAGCAAACAATTAAAAATTAGTTTTCTTAAGCGTTTTTCTTTTGGATCTTTCACAGAATTTAGAAAGATTTCGATTTCGTAATTAATGTGCTCACCAACGCTGTTTATATCGGGCGGTGGTACATATTGACATAGAAAATACTCATCACAACGACGCAGGAAACACACATAAGCCTCATAGATTTCTTGCAATATGCTGAAAGGAACTTGATGGCCATCTTCTGTAGATGCTACTACTTGATGAGGCTTGGGCACATTAACTACACTGACTAGACCATATTGCACTGCCATTTCAAAAATTGGATTTCCCAATACTCCATGTATCCAATTCGCGCCAAGTTCAACCTAAAAATAATCATTAAAAATTGGTAACGCTAAATAAGTTTTAAAAAGTAAGAATAAATATTTTACATTTAAATAATGTGCCCACCACTGAAAAAGCGTTAAGACTATAAGGTTTTTATCACGTTGGTCGAATTATGAGTATACTTAATTATAAAAATATAGCACACAAATTAGTCCAACCTAATTCTTTATAGCGTAACTTGATAAGATTACAAAGCAATCGCTGCTAAGCGGCATAACATTGCATTACTAATGCATTTAAAAGGTAATAAGATAATTAATTATTTATTAGTGAAGTTATTGATAAATATAAATAAAAATAAAAAAATGCTTCATGACTTAAACGTTCATAATACCTTACAGAGAAAAAAGTTGAGCAGACGGCTTGGCCTGCAGACATACAGTGAAAGTTACTACATTTATGGATGACAGTGATGACAATAAACTGCTGATATTCATGTACTTTGTATTTAATACATTTTGATTTGAAAACAAATAGAGAAAAATGCAGTTAATGCGTAAATCTATCTTAAATTAAACACATAATAAAAATAATCGATCAAATAATAAACTAAAAGTTTATAAAATTTATTTGTTCTTACAATAGTAGAGTAGACTTAAGCGTGATAACATTAAGTCTACAATATATTTATAACAAGCAAACTTATCGGATCTCTTCAACTTCATCTGGAACACCAAATGGTTTAACAGGGATTACAAAGGTTATCAACTCGCCTCTCCCGGTAAAATTTTTTGAGGACATCACAATGGGCAATATATGCCTCCGAGTAGAAGTGCTGACAACGGTCAGCATGCGCTCTTTCGAACCTAACCTAACCTATTAATAACAATGTATAGATATAGATTTGAGAGATTTGAAAAAGTAACAAATAGCTGTGCAAATCAATCCATAACTCTACGAGTTTTAAATTATTGTTATCGTTCAGCGTATACCGAACTTTCATATACTGGATTCAAACGAGAGTTTTTTGTAATTTTAGCTGTCATGTTTGTAATTTTAGTTGCGAATGCAAATTGAAGATACGGTAGAGTACGTCTGTATCTTCGGTGGCAGAACCAGATCACCAACGATTTGGAGGCGCTCGGTACTACCAATTGGCAGCAACAAGCAATTAATCGGGCTGGCTGGCGGAGTATATTCGTCGCGACCAAGGACGACTCACGTCTGTAATAGCCAACTATGTAAGTAAGTAATGCAAAATGAAAATTTTTGACAGTTAAAATTATGCGCAGTCCAAAATCTTTCTTATAAAATAACATAATCTACTGCTCTGTAAGCATTTATTACTCTGCGTGCCACACAAACAAGCATCCCACAATCAGTCAACCTATATTCAGTATTGCATCCGTCATTTACTTTCTTCGTATCATGAAAAACGTATACGTAATGCAGCCGAGCGTACATCAGTGAGAACGAGTATTCACGGCAAATAACCACACTATTGAATTGAAATGAATTAAGTCCTGTTGATTTAGAACTATACTTCATTGCACTGATAGTTTCAATTAGCACCCCACAAACTTTCCCTTCATGCATAACAGACATTCCATAACGGTAGATAACACTTTACGCTTTTTAGTTCAAGAAGATTTAATAACTTTTCCCTACACGCAATATGCCGATATAGCTTATTTATTCATACAATATTATCTTACTGTAAATCTTAACTCTAAATTTTTACTATATTTTATATTTAAAATAGTTACTAAAATATATATAGTATAAATATATATTATATTTTTCCACTATGTTTATAGTAGAAAAATTTAAATTAAATAGCTGTGTTTAATAAAATCGGCTGTCAAATGGACATGTCCTAGTAATCCGAACCGTGTCCCTACCATATTTCTTTCAGAAATAATTTAAGACCAATCTTTTTTCAACAACATACTTTGAAGGTTTACATACAGGCAACAATAGTTGGATGCCAGATGGATGAGGTGTGAAAGCCTCATAGTTCAATTTGTATAACTTGGGTAGGGTATTGTTTTTAATGACTTGTACATTGACAGTACAAAGTAAATAGTAAAACAAAAAAAATCTCGTTTATTTTAAAAACCACCTTATCTATGAATGATAATATGTATTTGCCAATATTCCAAATAGTTATCAGTCAGACTACCCTTCAAAACTTTTCTATTACTATAGCCGTATTCCCGATTCAATGCAGTCTTATAATATAATTATGCTATTGTATAATTATAATATAAACTGTAAGTTTATTTAAAACCAGCCGAATGTAAATACAAATATTTGAACAATTTCAATGTTAAATATAAGCTGAGTCAATTAAAGAATGGGGCGCCTCCAAGCTTAAGCTTGGATCTGTTTAAGACTAGACAATGACAGAATAAGTGTTCTGGTGTCTTCTCGTCGTGCACCGATAAACACAATCTGTAGTGATTTCGACAAAGTCCATGTTCTAGCTCCATGTCATCCTATAGTTCAGTAGATCAAAGGTACTGACGTTATTTTAGTTACTATTACTATTGTTTCTATGGAGACTAAAACAATAGTTGATGGTGAAATAAATAGGCAAACAATATAATCAGTAATACTTAATTAAATGGAGTGTATTTAAAAAGAAAAAGTATTTAACAATAATTATTTTGTCTTGTATTTATACGCCAACTCAATTTCGAATTTCGCAATTCGTTCATCTTTTTCGATTTTGAACATTTTTAATTTTTCTTCTGTTTCGATTTTTAAAGCCTTTAATTCCAATTTTCTTTTTTTGAAATCTATGTCAGCCCTCAGTTTTTGCTCCTTTAACTTCATTTTTCTTTCACTTAACAATAATTGTTGTTGATGTTTTTCCTTTCTCCAAGCCAATTTCAATTTGCAGATTGCCATTCGCTCAGCTTGAAAATCTGCAAGATCAGCCGACGAAGACCTGTCCACAAAGGTCTTCTTTGGTAAATCATTATTTCTTGACGTCGTTGTGGAAGAACTTGGCTCTGCTAAGTCAATTGGAGCTCCTTCTGTTGAAATCGCATTCTGAGACTCAATAACTTCCTCTTTGATATTCACATTATCACAAACAACTTCGATAAAGTAAGCGGTTTGCTCAACGCAACCATCATTGGACAAAGAAGTTTTAAGCGGATCTAACCTACTTTCAGTGTTGACCACTGAAGTAATCTGTTGCTCATCGGATGTTTTGCATAAAATTTCAGTTAGTTGATTGTAAAAGGGGCAAATTTGTAGAACTTTTCCTATATAAATAATGACTTGCAATCAGATTTTCGTATTTATGGTAGATATAAGAAAGTTTACCTTCAATACTGGTAGCTTCTGCATCCGATTCAAGTAAATCAGCTCCAATCGTATTTCGCCAATCGTTCGCCTTTTTATATTTCGCCTTCAAGTGCCTTACTTTCCACCGTATTAAATCCCATGTAGTGTTTATACCGGTTTTCGCAATTAAATCTTTATAATAAACTTGCGCAGTTGGATCCTAGAGATATTCGTACATACATAATAATATTACATATGTATTGTTTGAATTTGCATATGATAGCTGCAGTTTCTAGTGAAAACACAGCAGGTACTTTCAACCATTTGCTGAACCGATTATATAAAACCTTGCAAACGTTTTCTGAACTTACCTCTAGTGCCGGATTTTCTTTGATATAATTTAAGATAATGTTAATTTCGTCATATGTCCATTTCTTGTGTGTTTTTAGTCTTTTTTTTACTAATTTTTTTGCAACCATTTTCTCAATAAAAAATACAGTGTCTGAAAGCGAACTGCGTAGAGTAAGGACGTCAGCTGTTTAACTTGTCAAATCAGTGTGGCATATGCACATAGCAAACTTATGCATTTGACATTTTCAGTGTTGCAAATGTGTGCAAGCGCAAGAAATGTAAAACTTCACATTTTGTTTTTCTAGAACATTCGCACCGAATCGTGCACAGTTTATATATACGAGAGTTATTTGATAATTTTTTTTACAATATGGTAATATTGGAAAAAATAAGCCTAGCATATTTCTCTGATTAGAAGGCTTTTTGTGTCACGACGTACAAATTATAAACAATTTATAAAATAAGAATAATTTTCTTTGTAGCTTTTTATTTGTCGAAAAAAAAATAAATAAATAAAAAAAAAAAGTTTGACAATTATTATATAGGCGCGTCCGGGATGCATAAATGAGATAGCATTTCCATATATTGTGAAAAAAATCTGTTGTACATCAAAAACGTAGCCATGTAAACGCTTCCAAAGAATGTTTGCGAATATTTTAGCGTAATTTAAATAGTTTTGCATTCGGAAGAGTGTTCATAGTACCGAAGAACTTGAGGGCGTTATTCTTAATGCATTTTAAAATTGTCTCAGTTTTATAGCCTCGGTTATGCCATATTTTTTTGCGTTCACTAGTCTTCTTAGAGCTATATTTTGATAGCTATATTAAAATTTGTTTAACATAGTCTGTACGTTTTACCAAACGCTACGAAGCCATTAAGTAAGCTTAATCTGATTAATAGTTTATATATTAAGACATTAAATTGATTTCTTTGACGAAAGAAACTAAATGCTTAATGTAAACTTTTGTCTTCAATAGAGATTTTTATCGGATAGTAATGAAATTACAACAGCAAAAATTTTTACTAATTTTAATTAATTGAATTTCTTGGCTGCTATACAGCTATTTCGATACTGCCAAATACCCATCATCTTGAAGTGGTCTTGAAATTATTTCTTGTATTTATTTAATCGTAAATTTTCTTTTGGGACTGCAAGTACAATGGGTTGAACTCGTGCCCTGCCAAATTTGAAGTTCAGAGTCAGTGTTCTCATTAGGCCACTGAACCAAAGTTGTATATAAGTTGTGTATTCGAACTTGAAATTTTGTTTATTTGTTGTGAAATTTCATTAAATAATTCAATTGCTGTATTATATTAGAATGAATGAATATTAGAATGATATTTATTATTTGCTGTAGAACAATTTAATTATATTTTTTTATATTTCAATTATTGAATTTTAATAGTATTCTTTTGTAGAGTCATTATTATATATATTAAGATTTTGGTTTTGATAATAATTTTTGTTCCCAAAAAGAGTCTTAAGAGTTCAGTGTTTTAAATGGTATGCATTTATCTTCTTCCTTAACCTTAACCTTCCTTAACTTCCTTGCATACATTTGCAACACTGAAAATGTCAAATGCATAAGTTTGCTATGTGCATATGCCACACTGATTTGACAAGTTAAACAGCTGATATTCTTACTCTATGCAGTTCGCTTTCTGACACTGTATTTTTTATTGAAGGGTAGAAAGGGGAAATGAAATCGCATGAGTAAATGTAGTTAGAAATTTTTTTTTTCTAAATTTTTTTTGTCTGTTCAGAGATGCATTTTCAAGACAATTAAAGCGTTAACATTAGGAATAAATTTAATTGATTTGATTGATTTCCTATGAGATTAAAAGTCTTACTCTGACATAATGATAATAAAGCAAAAGTGGCAGTTAAGTAGCATCAAGTGCAGCAATTTTCACATTTCAGTGATTTTAATTTTATTTAAAATTTCTTATTAATTATTTTAAATAAACATGCATTTCGTAGTCTCTCTCGATACAATCGAGAATTAATTAAAACAAGTTTATTTAGATTGAATCTGAATTCACTTGAATAGACTTGTTCCTGCATATCACTACACTAATGACTTTTTTATAATGGATCATGTCTATGAATGACATTTGCGAAAACAAGAGATCTAAATCCAAGCCCGCGTTTCGCTACAATAACCGCCAGCGGCACTTGTGGATTTTTATATGAATAAAATCAGGTTTGTTTTTTAAGTGGCAGCGAATTTAACATGGAAATTAAAATTGGGTGCGATGCATGCTCTTTCATATTAAAGTAATTTTCACAAATTATAATTTGCTATAATTAAAATTAGTATTTGACAGCAAAAACTGCTATTATATACGAGAAGTTGATGTATTGTTATTTATCGTAACAACATCAGATACACTGTGTAGAGGCGATCATGGTCTTTTGATTTGTTGCTTCCTTTCACGTCATATAGACGAAATTATTGGCGCTCTCAAGGTGTCTTAATTACGTGATTTGCAAGATAATTTCTTTTATACAATTTTTTGTACTTTCCTAACAATAGATTACTTTTAATAAGTCTCATTTTTTTTCTTTAAATTTATTAAATATTTTTCAAAAACATTTACATAAACATATTTATATTGCTATTATATAGCATCAATATTTGCTCAACAAACTAGTAAATTTATATTATCGCATCAAAATACGTCACAGAATGAAAGAGCTGATTCCATTATAAGTATATAATTATATGTGTATATGACACATAACATATATACTTCACCTAATATAAAAATATTTTTTTAAAGGCTTATGAACTCAGAATTTTTTAAATATTTTGATTTCTACTTATAAAGTATATGCATATTTTTTTGAAAACGGCATTTGTCAGTACTTATTTTATTTTAATGGCAACCGAGATACATACATATGTACCAGAACTATGACAACAAGATCTCGGTTCAAGTCACTTAAAGTTCTGGTCTATAAACACACGCTTTAAATCATTAAAAAATGTTCGGTGTCTCTATTTCAGAAATAGAACTTCAAGCACCCTTTTATTTCATAAAAATATCTACTATAAAATCAATGTAAAGGTTGAACTCTAACCGGTATTTCTAGGATCCAATAGCTCTATGTATGGACCACAACTAGCCTTTTTAACTTTAACTAACCTGACCATTTTTAGTAAAAAGGGTGTAACTTTTTACTATCTTTTTTATTGAACGAAATTCAATGCCAAATAAGATTTGATAGATAATAGTGCTAACAGAAAGCATTGGGTTTTTCAAATAAGAGAATATATACATTTATACGTGGGTTATTTTTTCATAGTTCTTTCGCAGTATCTAATATGTAATATATTTTTATATTATGTACTTTATTTTCTCAAGAGGCATTACAAGAACTGTAGTCTATTTTATAGTCGCATAATGATTGCAGAGCTATAATAATTACAGAGATTAATATGAATAAAGTAACACTCATCTATATACTTGATTTCGAAGGATTCAACGGTAACGAAACAATTCACAGAAATTCCTTAATTCCTTTTATGGGACTCGAGCTCTTTTAATTTAAGATTTCTATTTTTTAAGAATTAATAAAATAGGAGTTTATACTATAGTAATTGCTGGATGATCAAGTTATTCTTTACTAGCGGGATTACGTGCAGTAGTTCTAACTATTTTTTATGAAGTTAGTTTAACTATAATTTTGTTATCTTTTATTTTTTTAATCGAAGTGTATAATATAGTTGTTTTTAAAAAATATCAATATTTTAACTGCAAGATATCTACTTGCCAGAACGCTTGGGTAGGTACGTACAAGTATAGAATAGATTTGTGTATCAGTCCGAAAGGCATAAGGCAATTGCTCATTGATAATAAAACTATTTGCAATCTTCTCTGTTTAAACAGAATGAAACCTATATTAATTAGTGGTTTCTTGAGTATTTATTAGTTTTCTTTCAATTTTGATGTCAAATGCTAGTACTTTCCTGGTGAATATTACCATTCTTGATAAAAGTATAAGAAAGGCCAATTTTATGATGAAGTATACTAACGCCCACAATTCTGCAATTGTTAAAATATAGATACAGTGTCTAAAGCATACTGATAATAACAGTTTTTGTGTAATGCAAAGGGAAACATTTCCTCATCACATGATATACGATTGTCAGGAAGAGATTTACTACTTTAATTTAGTTTTCATTTAACCGGATGAGGTCTAGAGTGTTAAACCAAACAATATATTTTGATTTATTAATAGTCTTAAAATTTCCAGTCTAGTAACTTTAGTAAACTAAAGTTATATAGTTAGTAAACTATATCTAAGATTAAAACAACAAATGTTTAAATCAGTATTATAACTTCTAATAATTATAATGAAGTCAATACTAATAACAAATAGCAGTTGAGTTTTATTACTTAATTTGCTATAAAATAACATTTAAGTGCAAAAACATTATACTGGTTATTATCATTATTATTATACAATTATGTAACATTACTTTATTTTAGAATTATTAAACTTACCATATATATTACAGTATTTATAGAAAGAATTATCATATCATATATATGAATCATATGACTTCAAAATAGCGAAATAACAACATTATAAGAGAAATGGATATGACTTCTGGAATATTACATGTATATAGTAAATTAGGTTTAAATCCAGAGTTTAATACCAATTACTATGAGATTAATGGTTCCAAGAACGACCGGGTCTACGTCCCGGAGGCACTCATTCGGGATATGCCCAGAGGGATACAACAACAACAGATTAATAATCTTATTGATTTTTAAACTAGTTATTGAAAACTAATAAAACGAAAGCGATATTCACGATCTCGAGTACGACTTCGGTAATAGTGTCAAATGGCAAGTAAAAAAAACATTTCTAGTGTCATTTATTTTTGGCACAACACTATTACCATATTATTTGATTACCGAGTTCCTTACTAAATACTCACTTTATATAAATTAATCTTATCTATTAATAAATATTATCATTTATAAATTGTTGCGTAAAATTAGTGCATATATACTAATGAATAGTGATACCTAGTCCAGAATTGATAGAAGGAGCATTCGAGAGAAAAATATTTCGGAAGATCTATGGTCCCTTACGCGTTGGCGATGAGTATCAAATTAGATGGAACGATGAAATATAGCGCCACATTGACATAGTTAAGCGCATAAAAATTCAGCGGCTTCGCTGAGGTGGTCATGTTCTGCAAATGGAAAAAAGTGATCCGGCTAGAAAGGTGTTTGATTCAGTACCATTGATGCGGAAACCATTGTTCGGTGGAAGGACCAGGTGACCAACGATTTGAGGGCATTCCGTACTACCAACTGGCGACAGCAAGTAACTAATCGGGCTGGCTAGCGGAAGTTAGGCGACGCGGCCAAGGACGACTTACGTCTAAGTAAGTCCAGAGTTGTAGTCAATTATTTTAATTATTATGTGGAAGCATAATAAAAACACGCATGCCAAGCAATAAAATTGTTCATGCTGCACTCGAGTGGAATTCGCAGGGAAGAAGAAATCGCAGTCGGGCGAGAACAACATGGAAAATAAGTATTAATAAAGAAAGGAGCAAATCATTAAGTGAGCTAAGAGCAATAGCTCGCGATGGTAGAAATTGAAAATCTCTTGTGATTAGACTAAGTTCATATATTATATGTTATTTCTGAACATTTCAATAATAATATTAATAATAATAATAAGAACACGGTAAGTTGAAACTTGCAAGTTTTTAGATTGCATGAATATAATATGAACAGCAGAATATAATCCAAAACTATACTTTAAGTACGAGGCACGTCGTATTCATTGAGAATTTAATCTTTAATTTTATATTCTCTTATTATTATTTTAGATCGGCGGATGATACGAAATGTGCAAGTGGTAATCCTATACGTTACCACGACTATTGAGCAATTTTTTCGTTTTCTATATATGTTTAAGTTTACAAATTCTATTGAATATTGGAATATACTTATGTTTAGATAGCTGCGATTAATATTTAATAAAGGGTTCTTCAGTAATGTGCTTTACAGTGGAAGAAGAGATTGCATATTGAAAGCTGTTGAACTCTGATTAGACAAAATTGTCTTATAGGATTTTTATTTTATATGTAATTAATTGTTAATATTGATTCCTGGTAACAAAAATCAAAAACTCCTTTAGTTATATCCCTTACCCTTAAGGAATATGCCGTTGATGTGGTCTTGATCTCTAACAGACACGCTAATATGCAAGCCCAAATTACAGATCTCTCAACTAAGTGTGCAACAGTTAACACTAATATTGCTAAGACAAAATCCATGCGTATCAACAGACCTAACACCTACCAGCTCACAATAAGTAATACAATCGTGGAAAACGTCGAACAGTTTGAATACTTCGGCAGCATTATAACAACAGAAGGTGGAAAGCATATGTTCTTAAATTGTGATTGTAATTTATGGAACATGTCATAATAATAATGAAGGAATAGTAACTCCCCCGTTTATTTATGGACTGAGATATCACATATGTTAGATAGTTTTAAAGTATGGTATAAAGTAGGACAGAGTAATGGACAATTATATAAATAGAAAACCATTGTATTATAAAATAATCAACAATTTGCCAAAATTGTTCATTTTACACAAAACAAAATCAAAATAAGGAAAGGCCAAATAAACAAAACCTCAGGCAAGGACATTTGGCATAAAAATGCGGATGTGAAAGCTCGCAAATAAAAATAAAAATCGGCTGACTTTGCGTATGCGTCATTATTTACAACTTAGAAATGTTAAGAGACTTTTTTAAGTGAAAATATAAATAAAAAAGTCTAATTAAATTTTTCACATGTTTAGGCTTTTTTCACATGTTTAAAAATAAAAATAGTATAAAGAAATTGGAGCAGCAACAGCTGGGAACTAAAACTCTTAAAATTAAAAATACCAAATATAAATACGGAACACTTGCAAAGTATTAAAGAAAAAAAAACAATAGAGCGAAAAAATAAAAATAATAATAAAATAAAATAAAATAATAACAATTAATTTTTAGAGTCTTTCGCCTATGAGCTAATCCTAGTTCTTGCTTACATAATGCTTTTTGTGCTATACACCGCCCCACAGCGTTAACTCACTTTTTGCGTTCCCATAGGTATTGAGACAATTCTTCCGCCAATGCGATTTCTGGCCTCCAAAATACGAAAGTTCTCGCAACCATTTTGCTTTAGATGATTTGCAGCAGAAAGTCCGGCCATTCCAGCGCCCACAATCAACACTTTAACTCTTGTCGCGACCGTGTCACCAGCATTTTCATCTGTAGGCGATGGTGCTGGTGTGTGCGGAGTGGGAGCAGTCTCCCCCATAGCTCAATATTAACTTATAGTTTGTTTATTTTCGATTGTGTTATTAAGCAAAACATTTATAGGATTTTTTAAATTTCCAATATTAAAAACTGTTTTCACTGTCACCAAAATCGTTAAACATCGCACGGAATTTTTCACAGACTGATTTTCTCTATTGACTAAATTTCATAATTGCCTTTCTGATCGAATTGTCAAATGAAGTGTCATTATTTCTTATTATCAGCTGTTTTTATTGTTTTTTGTAATGCGCATGTCCAAAGACCGGCAATCGCCAAAATAAACAACACAAAAAAACTTTGAAAGAATTTGTATAATAATATTATATATTAAGAATTATTTATATAATTCCAATAATTGATTACAATCTTGTTTTTTTTCATGACTATTATGCAAAGTATATAAAACTTATGAAATTGATATTGAACATATTGTAAATAAACAGGCGAAGCAGGAGAATGTCAAAATTGTGATAACGAGACTCGTTAGTCAGTTCTTGTGCATACTATAAGAACTAGATTATGCATATTGTCATACTTGTTTTATAATAACTGAAGTAATATTAACTTATATTCGAAAAAAAAAATATTATCAATGCTTGTAATAGGCTTTGATATAAACAACAAAAACAGAACAGCAAAATTTGTATAAAATTGAAAATGGAATTGATATATTGGCGATTTTGATTAGTAAACCTAAATTCAAACTATATTCATTCTTGATGTCAAACTTTGTTGCGCAGTCGAACATTACTAAAGTAATCCAACATTTTTGTAATAAAGTTAGTACACATTTAATTTAAAATGCATAACTTAAATTAAACTTAAAATTAAATCCTCATTAAACGATTTCTTTTAGACCATGTGCGAGTTCGAGTAAATTGATGGTAAATTGAGAGAAATAATAAATGGTATGGTAGTGAATGTTAGTATTTACTAGAATTTTGAGTAGGTTAAATTAGATAAATTAGGTGTTACCATTGTGAAAATTTTATGATGTTTAATAAATAAATAAATTTGAAAACTTGAAACCAAAAATAAAAAATAAGTGCAATAAATAATGAAATATCTACATTAGTGCAGTGCAAAAAATCCCTAGAAAATTTCAATTTATTTTACCTCAATTTACTCGAACTCGCACATGACCTTAATGGCGAAACTTTCATATTATGATAAGCTGACAGAACTTTATAAACCCCACTTAATAATATATCACCCAAAAAAATTTATATATATAATTGACATAATAATTAATATATATACATTTTATATATTAATTACCTTTGTTTATACCTTAGCTGTTGTTTGTGCACATTTCACATATGAAATATATTACATATATTTCAGCTTTTGAAAATTTCCCCTGTGGACAATTTATCTTCAAAAGTCACATCAACATTTTTCGCCTTAAATGAGCTGATTTATTGTTAATGATTTCATTTATAAGAAAGACTTATATATGGTAAATTATCCTCATTAGTAGTTATAATGATCAAAACTACGTAAATGAGACAGTTTGAATGTGCTATAACATTAGTAGTTTTAGATGCAGTGGAAATATGGGACGTGTGCGAGTTAGACTAAGTTGCGTTCTAAATGTGGGAAAATCGAAGTTGTGCCGAAAATGTAGTGATGTGTCGATACGTGTTAATAAATGGCTAAATGTGTGCAGTGCAAAAAATCCCAAAAAATCTCCCATTCGGTTTAGCATCCACTTAGCCTAACTTGCACACGTTCATGATATAACTTGCAAAATAATTAGTAATATAAAACTTTATAGTTAGAAATATAAATAGTATTAATATGTAACGAACTTTTGGTAAATATTTTGTAAGAACTGCCAAAGTATATTATTAAAGTTAATTATTAAATTAATTATTAATTTTTTATTATTAATTATATATAATTTATTTATAGTACATTCACACTGTCTCGTTAAAGCTCTTGTTCGTTTATATTAATGAGTGAACTGATAGAACTTTTATAAACTTCACTTAACAATATAACATATAAAAAAAATTAAATATATTACTAATATTTTAAATCATTTATATACATTTTATCAGTGACGACTGCTCTAAGCTGTGGAGGTATGCGGTGCACACCCTATTGTCATATATTATATATAAATTTTGTCTATGAAAACTCAATGAATATGCATCTCTTAGCTGCTATAGTTGCAGCTCAAATCGCAGAACATTTCTACTATATTTCGTCTTTCCCCTTTAAGTAACTGCATTCACAAATTTTTGTCATTAGTAATGCTTAAGAAAAATGAACAAAATAATGCGCGTCTGCTTACGTTGGTAATATGAGACATACACTACGTTTACGCGAGTCTTAAAATCAGTTTTAAAACTGATTTTAAAATTTGTACTTAGAGCGTTTACGCACAAAAATTAAAAGCACTTTTAAGGTAGCTGTCAATCAATCAGCTGTTTAACAGTAAACAGAAATGTTGATTTTAAACATTTTTAAAATGAATAGAGTAAAACTACAAATTGTTTTGCTTTTATTGCAAAAAAGGAATATTATAACCAAAATTGTAGAAAATAGTAATGAAGCAACAATGCAGATTTTTAAAACATCTCGTAAAAAATTTACAAAATTACGAGAAATGCGATTGCAGCTCTTTAAAAAAATGGCAATAAGTTTCGCTAATGAGGCTTTAAGGAATGTAAGTGTTTTTATAAAGTTTTTCATAAAATATTTAGAATGCATTTTTGTTTTTAGCTTCCACCACGTATAAGAACTTTTAGCAAAAGGAAGAGAAGTTCGGAATGGTGGGATGTTGAAGTTCTGTAGTTCTATGACGATGAACAATGGATTGTTGATTTTAGAGTGAATCGACAAATATTTTTCAGGCTTGTAGATTTACTTAAGGATAAAATGGCACCAGCAGAAAATACTTTCGTTAAAGGGTTGAATATTCCCAACCTGAACATATGTACAATCGACAAAATTTGTCGTCCGGACATCTTATGCGAGATCATATATGCACGTACTTGGCGAGAAAATTTTCACTTCTACATAGAAGCAATTAAAAAAATAATGTAGAAAAAACAAATTTTAAATTAATTAATTTATACTTTTTTTATTTATAACAAAATGAGCTTAATGACAAATTTAAATAATTGAAAATAATAAACTTAACTTAAACTAAACTAAAATGTTTTAAATATAAAGTCATCATTACGGTAAAGTTAAGATTTTCAAATAGAGAATAAAAAATAAACAAGTTTAATTAATTTATATTATATATTTTTAGCAAAAGTGAAACACACGGTCCGATGTATTTTTAACATGTTCTTTACTTCGCTTTATTAACTATACTAAAAATGAATAATGAATAATAATTACAAAAGGAATATAGAATAATGACAGGCCAGAGTTGCCAGGCAATTAATATTTAAAAAGTACTTTACATAACAACACCCCCTCTTAAAGTGCTTTTATTATGTATAAAATATGACTTTAATATTTCATTCCTAATTTCCGTAAGCAATTAACATGCTTTTCTGTAGTGAGTCCTTTGGTAAGGACGTCTGCGGGCATTTCTTCTGTTGGCATATATTTGATTTTAACAGTGCCGTCGTTAACCTTGCTGCGAATAAAGTGATAACGAATATCAATGTGCTTTGTCCGTGGATGATACCTGAAGCTTTCCGTTAATTTTTGAGCGCTTTGATTATCATTAAAGATTTCAATTGTCTTACTTGTAATGCCAACATCATCAAGGATTGCCTTTAGGTATAACGCTTCTTTTGTGGCCTCAGATATGGCCATATATTCTGATTCAGTGCTTGAAAGCGCTACTGTACGTTGCTTTCGAGCTTCCCAACATATCGCTGCTCCTGATATAATGAACGCATACCCTGAATATGAACGTCTATCGTTTAAGTCAGCGCCCCAATCAGCGTCAACCAGACCATACAATTCTTCATTGTCTTTCTCATACAATAGACCATAGTTGCTTGTACCTTTAAGGTATCTTAGAATTCGTTTTGCTGCTTTCCAATGTTCCACGTTATAATTTGAATTGAACTGGCTAAGAAAGTTTACAGCAAACGCAATATCAGGTCGAGTTGTAACAGCTAAGTACATTAATGCTCCTATCAAGCTTTGATAGGGATACATCTTCATAACACCTTCATCAATTTTTGTTGGTTTCGTTAACTTAATGTTCAATTCTATGGGAGTCTTCACTGGTTTACAGTCTTTCATATTGAACTTTTCAATGATGCTTTTTGCATACTTCTCTTGTGAAAGAAAAACTTGATGCTTGCTTAAATTTTGATGAAACTCGATGCCAAGACAATTACTTACTATTCCCAAATCCTTCATTTCGAAATCATTCGCAAGTGCAGCCTTTATTTCTTTTATACGAAACTTATTATTGGACGCTATTAGTAAATCATCTACATATATTGTCATCAAAACAATGTCGTTGCCTTCTCGCTTAGTGAATACACAAGGATCCTGTTGTACTGCACTTAGACCCATATTCTGTAGTTTCTTTGTCAATTTCATGTACCATGATAGCCCAGACTGACGGAGTCCATAAAGAGCTTTCTTTAATAAACATACAGGTGACTTACTTGATTTAATCGCCTTTAACCAATGCTGCGCTGTTTCTTTAACTTTTCCACACAATATTGTTGAAGTTTTTCCCACTGGTTTTGATGAAACAACTTTGTTCAGGAATGGTATAAGATAATCGGGAATTTCCATGAAGACACTCTCTTCGAGCTCTCCATTTAGGTATGCTGTAATGACATCCATCTGATGGATCTCCAAATCCATTTTTGCTGCCAGTGCCGCAAGTAGTCTTATAGATGTTGAACGAGCGACTGGAGAAAACGTATCATGAAAGTCTTCACCTGGTCGTTGTGCAAAACCCTTCGCTACTAATCGTACTTTCTGTTTTTCGTCATCTTTAGTTCGAAGCACGAATCTATTCCCAATAACTTTTCGTGATTTCGGTCTTTCGACCACTTCCCATGTTTTATTCTTTAGTTGTGCCACCATTTCGTCTTCTAGCGCTTTTGACCAGGAATTTGTTTCATCGCTTTCAAGTGCCTCCAAAATCGTTACTGGAGTTTGATATGTAGTGAGAAACGCCATTTCACAATCTTCAAAAACGTTGTTGTCAGGTTCATCATCTGAATGGTTTTTATCAGCAATTTTTCTTACTGAACTTGTATTTTCGTCTTCGTTGGATGATTCTTCACCATTCCGATTTGACGTGTAATATTCTTTTCGAGGCCTACCGCGTGAATTTGTGCGAATAAGTCTCGGACGACCTCTTCTACGAATGGAGTTTTCTTCTCGCGTATCTGTATTTTCTACAATTTTCGGATTGACCGACAGTTTCTGATTTTCACAATTTTCGAACGCAATATCGATATAATCATTTGTTTGGCAGTCGTTTTCATTGTTAATATAAATGTTTTCGTATTTATTATGATAGATATTTTTGTTTACGAACACGACATCACGGCTTATTGTTATATTTCGTTTTGTAGGTGACCACAGCCGATAGGCTTTCGCTTCGTTTGAATATCCAACAAACATGTAAGGTTCTGACTTAGAATCGAATTTATCTCTAGTCTTATCCTTTTTTAGGACATATGCTTTAGAGCCAAATACTTGAAAATGTACAATAGTTGGCATTTTACCAGTCCACAACTTGTGCGGTACTACACCGTTCAATGCTTTTGTAGGACACCTATTCCGAATATAGCACGCTGTATTTATGGCCTCTGCCCAAAAATTTGGCGGAACTTCAGCTTGTTTCATCATGCAACGGGCCATTTCAACTAGAATTCTGTTTTTACGTTCAGCAATACCATTTTGCTCCGGCGTATATGGAGCAGTTAAGCGTCTTTGTATACCAAATTTCCTCAAGAATAAATTAAATTCAGAATTAACGTATTCTCTACCATTGTCTGATTGTAAAGCCTTAATTCGTTTACCCGTAAATGTTTCTACTGCTCTTTTGTATTGCTTAAATACATTTAATACATCGGATTTTTGTTTTATAAAATATACTTGACAATAGCGTGATTTGTCATCAATAAATGTTACGAAATATTTTGCATCCGAATTTGATGCTGTTCTCATTGGTCCGCACACATCACTATGCACGATCTCTAATAAGTCACTTGTTCTAGTTTCTTTACTCTTAGGAAATGGTTTTTGTATTTGTTTTTCACTAATACAAATTTCGCAAGTCGGAAGTTTTTGTTTAGGATTTAATTTTAATCCGTGTACTAGGTTATTACTAGCCAATTTTTTAAGATCGTTTTCATTTATGTGGCCCATTTTCTGGTGCCACTTTTCAATGTCACATTTTTCTTCAGCAACTTGTGCAAAATGATTTTTATTTTCAACAATAAAAAGATTTCCACATCTTTTCGCTCGAGTTATAACCTTCTGATATTTGTCCAATACGATTGCATCTGAAGGGCGAAAATGCACTTCATATCCGCTGTCTACTATTTTTGATACAGAAAGTAGACTTGTACGCAAGTCCTCGACATATAGAACTTCTTTAAGATCAATGTTATTATCACGACCGTATACGTCTACAGTTATTTTCATTTTACCGACGCCGTTTATATTTGTTGTGTTGTCGTTTGCTAAGTTAAGCACTTTATTCGATTTTTGAAAGTCTGTAAAATATTCACGGTTTGCACTTAAATGGGCAGTACATCCACTATCTAGGCACCAATAATTTTCTTTTATTGAGCTAATAAATGCATCTTCAGCATGATAGCTAAAATTATTGTTTACAGATTTTTCCGAATTTTTCAATTGCGTGTTATTTTCAGCTTTTGCTTTATTTTTACATTCACGTGCAAAATGTCCGATTTTGCCACAATTAAAACATTGTTTGTTTCGTTTAGAATCACTGTATCGTTTGTTTTGTTTTGCGTTTCGGCTTTTATTTCGATTTATGTATAGAGAGTTTTCATCACTATGTCTGTCTTCTTTTGTCCTTTGCGATTCAGCTTCTTCTAATATTTTCACTAGAAGTATGTCTGGCTTTGGCAGCTCGTCGCGCGTTTCTAACGCGCACCTGAAAGTATTAAAAGAGTCGGGTAGGCTATATAGGAGCAGTATGGCCAGAAGCTCATCCCCGATGGTGACGTCAATTTCCTTTAATTTTGCCACGGCTTCAAAAAAATCGTTGAGGTGCTCTCTAACCTTTTCACCCTCCTTCATGCGCGAAAGTGCAGCCTTTTTCAGCAACGTCGCCTTGCGCGCAGGCCCTTTTGATGAATATGTGGCTTGTAGTTTCATCCACATTTCGTTTGAATTTGTGCATTCTGCAATTAATCTTAATTCTGATGCACTTACTGATAACATTATATCAGCACACGCTTTCTGATCAAAGCTGATCCATTTTGCAGCCGCTTCGCCCGTTGGACACGACGCAGTACCTTCGACATATGACCATAAATCGTTTTTTATGAGAATAGCTTTCATTTGTAATTTCCATGTATCGTAGTTTTCCGCGTTAAGCGGTTCAACTCGAATCACCGTTCCCGACATTTTTATACACGTATTAAATCTACTTTTTATGTGCACGTGCTTTTTACTTCGCAGTGGAAGCGTGCTGGGCCCATAACCTATTATATATTTTTAGCAAAAGTGAAACACACGGTCCGATGTATTTTTAACATGTTCTTTACTTCGCTTTATTAACTATACTAAAAATGAATAATGAATAATAATTACAAAAGGAATATAGAATAATGACAGGCCAGAGTTGCCAGGCAATTAATATTTAAAAAGTACTTTACATAACAACAATTTAGATTCTGGGATGCAATTAGGCTTTTTCTATATTTTTTGCCGTCTAACAATTTAATTATTTGTTTTTCTGCAAATATTTTAATTAAACATTCTTTCTCCTCTCTCATCCAATTTTTTCTTTTCATTTCCCTTTTCTCCATATTTTTAGTTATTTGGTTAGTGTTATTTGTAATAAAATTCAAATTATTTGTACCTATTTACTGTTAACAGCTGATAATTCAAATCTTAAACTGCTTTTAAGGTGTTTACGCAAAGCTTAAAAGTGACATTTCTTACTAAAAGTGATGTTAAACTACATTTAGTAAGCTAAAAGTGCTTTTAAGCAAAATTCAATTTAGGGTGTTTACGCGATCTTAAAATCAATTTTAAGAGCCTTAAAACAACTTTATAGAGATTTATATAGTGGGAATTGTATGAGCAATTTTCTGTTCTATTCAAATATCAACTGCATCCATACGAATCAAACATGTTGATTTGCCGAAGCACTTGGTTGTGCGGTCAAATCTGCAACACACATTTCTGTATATTTTTTTATATTTCGTCTCATCCCTTTTAGCTGTGGCACCAGCGAATATTAGCCGCCTGGCGTACGGAAAAGTTGGCCGCACATTCATACGTTGCATGTGTGTTCGATTTTGATCATTGCATAAACACATATGCTTCTGTGTACAAACCCTTTTGTTTGAAAAAATGAACTTAATCGTATATAAAATTATTAATTTAATTTGTTTAATATGTTATTTTGTGAATGAATTGTTAATATTATATTGTGAATATATTGTTGCTTAAGGTACATAGTTGTTATTAATAAATCATCTGATATATTTTCATTTATTATTTTCACTGCATTTTATGTATCAATTAAATATTTTATTAATAAAAATAAAGATTTTAATAAATACTTACTTCCGTAGTGACTTTGTTTACAGTTCAGCTGTTGTTTGTTTACATTTTACTTATGAAATGTAAATCAGCTGTTGTTTGATTACATTTTACTAACGATATGTATAACAAATGTTTCAAATTGGTAATTTCTTTTACGGGATTATTATTTTTATTGAAAATCAATGGCGATATCTAATAATTAATAGTAGGGAATCATATGTCATTGCATATCAAAGGAGAATAACAAATGCTGCCACTGTGCATTTAGAGACTCGATATGCATTTTCGTTTATTTTTCTAGTAAGAAGTTCGATCAAAACAAACTATTGTCAACAACATCAAGAGGATTTTTGTTTTATAATTATAATTATGAATCCCTTATTAAGGAAGCATAAAACTGACGCGGTTAAAAGGAAAATACATTTTCAAGCTGATAAGAGTTTAGAAACTCATGTAGAAGATTTAACCGATGATGAGCATAAAAAAAATCGTACGCACATTCACAAATTAACTGGAGCAACAACACAAAATGAAAGTCAAGATAAGAACAAGGATGAAAATAAGAATGGTAAGTGGGTGTTGGTGAAAAACAAGTTGCACATATAACTTGTTAATTTTCTTCCATTACATGCACACTTCAGAAGCGACGCCTTCATTTAAAGATTTTTTCAAAGTGGAAATGACACGTAGCTACATGCTGGAGCATGATGAGGAGCGTTTCACTGCACGGCGACAGAAAATTTACTCCTTCATACGCATACCAAGAGATTTGGAAAGGTTTATAGTGTATGGAATAATGCAATGTGCTGACTCATTTCTTTACATTCACACATTTCTACCCATACGCTTTGCTATGGCATTGTGGAGTTTGATATTCCGGCCTATAGCGAAATGTTTTGGATTGCGGCATCGCACGCAGTGCATTCTAACCACCGCTGAGATTTGTGATCTACTAAAGTGCACACTTTTTCTGTTGTGCACGCTGCTGATGATATCCATAGATACAAATCGTGTTTATCACATAATCAAATCTCAATCAATAATCAAATTGTACATATTTTATAATATGCTGGAGGTGGGAGATCGCTTACTCTCAGCTTTTGGGCAGGATACCATAGATTCATTGTTTTGGACCGCTACGGAACCAAAACATTCGAATCACGAGCATTTTGGTGTGATAACACATATAATATTTGCACTTATATACGTGGTGCTGCATAGTTTTCTAATAATGTTCCAGGTAAGTGGCTGAAAGGGAAATTTGATTTAAAAATCTAAAGCTTTTATTTATAGGCCACCACATTAAATGTGGCAGTGAATTCCAACAACAAAGGATTGCTTACAATTATGATATCAAATAATTTTGTAGAACTTAAAGGCTCCGTCTTCAAAAAGTTCGACAAAAACAATCTTTTCCAGTTAACATGCAGTGATGTGCGTGAACGTTTCCATTTGTGTGTGTTGCTCTTCATTGTGGTTATACAGACTATGAAAGAATTTGAGTGGAGCTTCAATCAATTCTGCGTTATGATACCAGACTGTGTGGCTGTGTTCTTTACTGAGGTGCTTGTCGATTGGTTAAAACATGCCTTCATTACGCGCTTTAACGAATTGCCGGAACACATATACAGGGAGTACACTACTAGCCTAGCGTATGATATGACACAAACACGCCAGAAGCACGCTTTTTCAGATCATTCAGATTTGGTGGCTAGACGAATGGGCTTTATTCCGTTTCCACTAGGTGTGGTGCTTGTTAAAGCCATCTATACAGCAGTTACATTCGATAATGTGGCTTCAATTGTCATCTTCCTATTTTCATTTGTGTTTATTATGGGTTTACGTATCTGTTTAACGATATGTGCGCTTGGTAAAGCATGTAAATTGATGAAGGAACACCAGGATGAAAAAAATTCGCAACCAAGTAGTTTTATGAATGTGCCACATATAACAACGCATTCAGCACAATCGAATCCGACCGTTAATTCGAGTTTTACTAATGTCACCCAAACAGCAAATAATACAACATCACGTATTGACGCAGCTACATCGCCTAAACATCCGCTTTATGGCTTAAAACGTTCGAATACATCTGATGATACACACGAACGCTTGTTTTCTTCTGGCTTCCACAGCACACCAAATTACAAAACGTCTAATTATGTCAAAAATCAATACGATGTTGAACTGAGTACGCAATCGTTGGAGACAGGCGCTACCGCTATATTCTCCAACAGTGATGTAGATTTGGAAGACGTGTGTCTTAATGAGAACGTGCTCGATCCAAACACGAATGCGTGCAATGTTTCGTTTCCTAACGATGAATTAGCACGTAGTGAACCCGATTTATTTTTGGATAGTAATTCCAGTTCATTGGAAAATATAAACAATTTATTGGAATATAAAAAGAGTCGCCTGGGGAGGCGTACACACAAACGTTCTGAATCAGAACCTGCCATTGCTGCAGCAACTGCTGGTACTAATTAATTGTGAGGTAGACAAATGTTAACATAAATATTAGGTGATAATGTTTCATTTTTAAAACTTATATTTTAATTATTTTAATTTGCTTTACTTCAGAGTTATTAATACTGGACGGTTTCATATTTTATTCCAGCTTGATAGCTGAGTCTGGGATGGGCAAAATTCTATGCTATATTGGCATAATTTCAACGGCAGCGGTTATTATTTAGTAATTTAATTCATTTTAATTTGCCTTTGTAGTCTTTACCATTTTTTGATTATTTATAATTGTTATTAATTACAATTCGAAACATTTATTACTTTATTGATTGAATAACTATAATTTGTTAATAACAAGATATTAATAATAATTTTTTTAATCGTAATTTCTTTATTAGTAACTTTTTTAAAAGTAATTTTTTTAATAGTAATTTGTTAATGATTTATTAATAATAATTTAATAATAATAAAACTGTAATAATAATAAATAATAATTTAACAATAATAAATAATAATTTATTACTAATAATTATTATTAATAACAATTATTATTAATAATATATTAATAATAATAATTTAATAATAATTTATTAATAAAAATTTAATAATAATAACTTATTAATAATAATTTAATAATAATAATTTATTAATAATAATTTAATAATAATAATAAATAATAATAATTTAATAATAATAAATAATAACTTATTAATAATAATTTATTAATAATAATTTAATAATAATAAATAATAAATTATTAATAATAATTTATTAATAATAGTTTATTAATAATAATTTATTAATAATTTATATTATTAATCACAATTAATATTATTAATAATAATTAATATTATTAATAATAATTAATATTATAAATAATTTATTAATAATAATTAATATTATAAATAATTTATTAATAATAATTTAATAATAATAATAATTTATTAATAATAAGTTTCAATAGTAATATACTAATAATAATTAACTAATAATATTTTATTAATAATAAAATACTAATAATAATTTGTTAATAATAAATAATAATTTATTAATAATAAATAATAATTTATTAATAATAAATAATAATTTATTAATAATAAATAATAATTTATTAATAATAATTTATTAATAATAATTTATTAATAATAATTTATTAATAATAATTTATTATAATTTATTAATAATAATTTATTAATAATAACTTATTAACAGTTATTTATTTTTAATAGCTTATTGAAGATATTTTTTTAATAATAGTTTATTATTAATAATTTACTAATAATTTAATATTTTTTACATCTAATATTTAAGAACTAATAAAAATACTATAATATAATTTATTAGTATACAAATAAAGGCAGGGTGTGAAATTCGTTAATTGTTTATATAAATTAAGTTACTTTAACGATATTGTATTAATAAATATATTTATATTATAGGTTTATATTAATTTATAGCTTAATAATTAATTAATTATAAATAAATATAAATATTGTATGCACACTTATAATATTAACGACAAATGTTAATTTAAAGTACATATATATATATACATTTTACAAAAATTCCTATAAATGTTAAAATAATTTTGTTAACATGTATAACAGTTTATCACAAAAAGTATAAACAACTTTCCTAATAATAAATAAATGAACTAACAGTGGTAAAAGTAAAATTAAATTATATATATATATATTATACATAAATATATATTAAGGGTTTGTTAAGGATATGTAAATATAGACATAGTTCCTCATAATTGTTGTAATATATAAAATATATGACTACACTTATTTGTTTTAAATTTGATTAACAAAAATAAAATTAATACATATATAAACAAACAACAGAATACAAGAATATATATATAATGTATATAATGACACATGTATATACGTACATATTGACAAGTATATATTACTAAATTCAATATTTTTATTTAACTTATTAAAGATAACTTGTGAAATATAGAAAAGGAATTTATTATATAAAAAGATGTATATATAACTAATTTTCATTGGCATTAATAGCTCTAAATTATGTACAAAAAATTCATTAAAAGATTCTAAATGAGTTCTAAATAATGTGTATTTAATAATATATATATATTTAATAATATATATATTTATTAATATATGTATATTTAATAATATATATATATATATATTATAATATATATATATATATATATTATAACATATATATATATATATATATTATAATATATATATATATATATAATTAAATATATCTATTTAATGTTGTAATCGCATTTGCATACATATTCATATCTATTTATATATAACTTTATATAGGTATATATATTTTCAAAATATTTATTATAATTTGTAATGATAAGAGTTCCATACTGTTTATAGATTAAATTTAATGAAAAGTGCACTTTTTTGTTTTTATATTTTTATATACATAAATTAATTTAAAATAATAAAATAAAATTTATATATTTTTTTATTATATAAAATATACTAAAATTTAAAAATTGCAGTTAATTGTACTTCAAGTACAAAAATGTAGATATTTAAAAATAAATTGCCTTATAAAATATGATTTTCTATACAAAATAATAAATTAAAAGGTAATATAGATAATAAAATAAAAATATTGTTGAACAACAGCTTAGTGCTTGGATGTATTTTATGTTAAAATTCACAATGAAATAAAATATTTTATATATGTACGTATATATTTTTTTAATAAAATGTATATTTTTAATTATAATATATCAAAAAATTAAGATGGTGCGAAAAAAACTTTATATAATAATAAATAAAAAATCTTTTTATTTTTAAAACATAGAAAATTTAATTTCTTATAATTTTTTTTTTAAATATATAAAAATTATTTTATATTTATTAAAAATAAATCATGTAAGAATTGTGGAATAGTAAAAGCAGCGGTATGTGGAGCGCTATGATCATTCCTGATTTTGTTGTGTAGGTCTGTAGAAAGTTGGCGAGATAAACTATTAACTGTTTGATAACCGTTATTCTTCGGTCACAGTTATTTCATAGTTAATTATATCGGATGTTATATAAGATATAACAGCAGATTTGCATTCATAGTGACGCAGACCTAGACAACGCAGAATACACGTTCTTTCCCGTAATCAGTGGTTCAAATAAATCGTGATGTACCTCAATCTTTGTTTCACCAAATAAATCGTGAAACAAAGATTGACGGCACCATACGCGGGATGTACGTGATCTAAAGTAATTCTCTGAATTCCCTGTTATAGCGGTACTTAATCCTGGGAAAGAAAAAGTTTTTACCGAGTCAGTCGGGTTTCCTAACATTTTCTTCCTTAGTCTCAAAAAAGAAAATAGTGTTACTGCTTTGTAATACACGATGATTCATAGAGAGATTTTCAGTCAATCATATATTAAGACGAATTTCGGTAAAGGTATGGGTTTCAATTGCTTTCTTTCACATATGTTGTTAGACACAAGAGAGTTAATGATAATAATCACCTATACTTTCTTATAGCCGTAATTACTTCTAGTGAATTATTTCAGAGAAAAAGTAACTTGTAATATGATAGGGATATTAGTTTTTTAATTATAAAAGGTTATGCAATAGAGATCTAGTTTATATGCAACTTCAATTTCTATAAACGATCATTTATCTTGATATAATTTAATTGCTTTAGTCTAAAAGTAGGTTATAATATTTTAGCTAACCAAGCACATAACTTTTATTAGCACTGGTAGGTGTTTTGTCATAAGTAACAGCTCTACGATGTTTTCTTTTGATCCTTAGCTGAAGTGATTCTGCTCTTCATGAATATTCACTGTAGAATTCTTGTAAGAGTTACTTACTTAATTATTTAGTTGACCATTACATTACATTTCTTGGCCGCTTTCAGTAGTCTCCGCCAGATAGTCCGATTAGTGAGTTGCTGTCGCTAGCTGGTAGTACCGCTCGTTGGTCACCTGATCCTTCCACGGGTACCGAATCAAACATCTTTTTAAGTCGGAGAAGTATTTTTTTCCAATCGCAGGACATGACCTAGCCAGCGAAGTCGCTTAATTTTTCGCTCAGATATGTCAGTGCCTGTCTCACATACAGGTCGTTATTACATTTAATTCGATTAGTTGTAGCCAACGCGTAAGGCACCATAGATCTTCCTGAGAATTTTTTCTCGATAGATCCTAACGCTTTCTCATCAGCTTGTCCAAGCTTCTGCACCATACAGCAGGACAGGCATGATGAGGGACTTGTAGAGCGTGAATTTTATTTGTAGAGAGAGGGCCTTATTTCTCAATTGCCTACTTAAACGTAAGTAACGTGCCTTGTAATGTGTGACTGTTTGTTTGATCTAGAAGCTGACATTCTTTTTGCGTTTACGCTGGTTCCAAATAAACAAGATCAGTGTTGTGGGTTCTAAGACGCTCAGGAAATTTGTTTGTTGACAGAAAGTACTTTGTTTTGTCCTTAACTTTTTAAGAAGTTGATTTCATTAAAAACCCTTATAGCTTATCGTTCTTATCGTACTAGACAGTTAGCTTAGATATTATAAATTATACTCGAATTAAAAATTTCATGTTAGCAGTTGCTTCTCTTGCAAAAATAAGAAATAAATATTTTATAAATGTTCAATTTTTTTCAAACAATTCTTTTCTGATCCATAACTGTTCATTATGTGGGCCACATCTAGAGATGATCAATCATTTCTACATTATTTTTTCTGATTATGATTAATTGTCATTTCGTTGTGACTTTATCCTCTTACATTATTGGTTTTTGATTTAATAGTTTAGCGAAAAATATAATGTGACTTTCGGACACCTAAAACGTTTGAGAGTTTCTCACATTTAAATTTTAACAACATACAAATCCATTGCAATCCTTTTTTCAGAATTGTTAAATTGAATACAAAATTCCTGAAATGAGCGCCAAAAATTGCTTCATGTAAATGTCAACGCCTACATTCATAAAATGATACGCATTAAATGTGGTAAATGTTTTCGGTGCATCCCGTCGTCCTAGTGTACGGTGCATGGTGCATGGTGCAGCGCAATGTACTCACAGTTCGGAAAATAGACAACAAAGTTTATCCGAGGGCGTGCGCCTGTTTACCGTTTTTCCACGAATTGGCCATTTGTCTTAATGATAACTCGTGCGGGGGCATAAATGGTACGTTTGTGTGGGTATTGTCCTTTCGGTTTGGAATTTTATTAGTCGTTGGTAAGTGCATTCGAGTGTGCATTTTTTCGGATGAGCATGTGGTGCAAAATACTTCTG